CCTAAAAGAACGAGGGGAGATTAAAAAGAAACCCAGTACTGCTGAGAACCGTGCTAAGTACTCGCGGATTAACGGCCTTGTTAGGCAGAACTGTAAAAGAGATGATAATGCTTGGGCTGTTAGAGTAGCTGAGGAATTAGAAGATGCTGCCAAGCAGGGTCAACAAAGAGATGTTTGGCAGAAAATAAAATCCTTAACAAACAAGAGAGTAAACAGATCTGCGGCAGTGCGGGATAAGAATGGGACACTTATATCAGATCCCGAAGCTCAGTCACATCGCTGGGCCGAATATTTTGAAGAACTCTTGACGCCAGCAGCAAATGCGGTGGATTTCTCTATATTGGATCAGGATGAAAAGTTACTTTCTTTTGAATACCTTAGTAATGATGATGAGCCACCGTCCTTGTTTGAAATTGAGGAAGCTATCAAGAAGTTGAAGAACTACAAGAGTGCTGGAATTGATGAAATTTCAAATGAGCAGTTAAAGTACGGTTCTTCTGGACTTCTGCCTTGGTTAAAGGATCTTTTTGAAACTGTGTGGAAAAGTGAGGATATTCCTAATGATTGGAGAAAAGGAATAATCACCATCATCCCAAAGAAAGGGGACCTCACATATTGCAACAATAACAGAGGTATAACGTTACGCTCAACTGTATCAAAGTTATTCCAAATTGTGTTGTTAAAAAGACTGAGTAATGGGCTTGAAAAATTACTCAGAGAGAATCAGTGTGGTTTCAGGAGAAACCGTTCTTGTATAGATCAGCTGTACTCACTTCATTGTATAATACACAATTGTATAGAATTCAACGTCCCTTTGTACATAAACTTTATTGATTTTAAAGCTGCTTTTGATTCAATCAATCGTGACTTTATTTGGAAAGCTTTTGAACATTATGGTCTTCCGACAAAATATATCAATGTTTTCAAAGCGTTCTTTAGAGCAACTGAAAGTGCAGTTCGTGTCAATGGAGAATTGACAAGATGGTTTGATGTCGATTCGGGGACTGGACAAGGTGATGTGCAAGGGCCCCCCATTTTTAATCTTGTACTTAACTGGGGATTAGAACTTGCAGAGAAGTTTAAAAATATATCCCGTGGTTTTACTCTTCAGTACAGACAAAGTTCCAGACAACCGGAAAAATGTGTCATTGATCTGGACTATGCTGATGACATCGCAGGAATGGATGACACTGTTGAAGGACTGCAAGAAACTACGGACAATATTGCGAAATACTGTGGGCTCGGGGGTTTAAAGATGAACGCAAAGAAAACAGAGATCATGGTCATTGGGAAAGATACATCGCAGCACCCACTCCCAGAGAATAGGACCATAGATATAACTGTCGATGGAAACTCTGCAAAGCAGGTCACTCAATTCACTTATTTGGGTGCCAAAATTACATCAGATGGCAAGATTGATAAAGAAATAAGTGTCAGGATTGGAAAAGCAACTGGAGCTTTTAACCAACTCAACAACATTTGGAAGAATAAGAACATAAGCATTAACAACAAAGTGCGAATCTACATCGCAGCTGTTCTTACCATTCTGACCTATGGATGTGAGATATGGAACACGACTCAAGTGCAGACAAGAAGATTGGAGTCTTTCCATCAGTACTGCTTAAGAAGAATCCTGAGAGTGAGGTGGTTCCATCGAGTAAGTAATGAGGATGTTTTAAGAAGGGCATCAATAACTGCTCTTGCTGACATAATAACAACAAAACGGCTGCGTTGGTTTGGACATGTCAGTAGAATGCCTGAAGATCGGTTACCCAACTATTTACTTGAATGGAAACCCAAGCATGGGAAGAGGTCAAGAGGCAAGCCTAGGAAGAGCCTAAATGATGTATTTATTGAGGATGCTGAGCAGAGATTGGATCAGAATGGACTCACGATTGATTGTATGAGAAGATTAGCTGCAGACCGAAAGGGATGGAGAAATGTTACCCGCCGAAGTTGTATAATACAAAGTAATGACGCAGTCGACGCAGACTAATCCTTTTGGATGGAGATCTCGCCATGTAACATGTATGTATGAGTTTGAATAGATGTGGGTAATTCCTAGTGGCCAACAAAACTCCAAGCTTTTTGCATTTCAGTGGCCACCGGGCCCGGGGTCTAAATTACATACTTAACGTGACATGAGCACTGAGCAGTGGGGTCTAAATGACATACCTAACTCTATGAGCAATGGGGTCTAAATCACATACCAGACTCTATGAGCAGTGGGGTCTAAATCACATACCTAACATGACATACCTAACATGACATACCGAACATGACATACCTAACATGACATACCTAACATGACATACCTAACATGACATACCTAACATGACATACCTAACATGACATACCCAACATGACATACCCAACATGACATACCTAACATGACATACCTAACATGACATACCTAACATGACATACCTAACTCCATGAGCAGAAGTGATCAGGGCGAACTCTTTTAGCTCCTCATCAAACTTGTTGGTCATGTGACCTGAAATTGGTTGGAAACTCACCATCTGTCACCATGGCAACTGTACACCTTCACAACTATATTTAGTGCTAATTGGTATTGATCCCGTTTTCAATAATAATAGTTTCCAATAATTAAGTTAATTAACTCACAAAAAGCAAAACTACTAGCAAGACATAAAATTCATGTTCATAAATTATAATGCAATTTAAGAAAAGAAAGACAATTGGTAAGAAGGTAAGAAGAGTTATATCATGTCTGAGATGGAATATGTTAATTGTTAGCTCGCCTTTATTGGAAAAGGGTCCCTGAATAGAGAGAGTGTAGTTGTTTTGTTATGGACAGTGGTACGGTCAAGAACAATGCCTTTCCGGATCTTACTATACGCTATGAAGTTATTAGAAACATGAAAAGTATCTATTTTACAGGTTATTAATGGCGCAAGCGATAATATGTATGTGCTTTCGGGGTGTAATGAACAATAAACACAGCCTTCGCACAGCCTCTAAGCGGCCACCATGCAGCCACCATACGCCCGATACGGCCACCATATAGCCTCTAAGCGGCCAACATGCGGCCAAAAATAGCGTAAGATCATTGAAGGGATATCGACAGAATTTAGCCTATAGTAAAAAATGTAATACGGCCACGATACGGCCTCTAAGCGGCCACCATACGGCCACTATACGGCCACTATTCAGACGCCATACAGCCTCTAATCGGCCACCATAAGGCCTTTATGTGGCCTTTTCACATGTCCTTATACTTGCCCATCGTATGTGCTTATGTAGGCTATACCTATGAATCACTCATTTGTCGCAACTCGCAAATAATGTGTCGGGAGGAATGATGATTGATTTGTGATTGCTATTTTGGCATACTTTAATTCATCCATTCATCGAGTTACGGACCTTTAGTTTTACTGATAGTTGAAATTCGACATCTAGCGTCATTTAGCGTCATCTAGCGTCATTTAGCGTCATCTAGCGTCATCTAGCGTCATCTAGCGTCATCTAGCGTCATCTAGCGTCATTTAGCGTCATCTAGCGTCATCTAGCGTCATCTAGCGTGAAATGACGCTAGATGATGCTAGTTGAGTAGATGATGCTAGATGACGCTAAATATCGAATTTCAAGTATCGGTAAAAGTCCCGAGTTACTTAGTTCTTACTGAATCGTGCAACAATTAAGGTAAAACGAATATCAGCTTAATCTGGTAAGACTTTCTGCGATTTGATAGATGATGTAAAAACATGTTACACTTACTATGTTTGTGTTTATGATCCCGCAAATATCTCAAGACATTTTCAAGACAATGAGATTGCAAGTGAACAAAAATTACCGTGATTGCCCACGGTTATATGTTCACAAATCACAAACAATAGATTCCTGGAGCTCTCAATAGGCAAATTTAGTTTTTCAAACCTTTGGAAAATATTAAAATAAATAAGAGATCTCGGTACTTACCAACTGCTTTGGTTATCCGTTGCTGAGTAGTGACAGGTGTCGGGGTCCGGGGGTGCCGCAAAAAGTGATTATTCATGATATTCATCGTATTCGTATCAAGCGTCCACATGCCATATCCTGATCTTTGGGACTTGTGGGACCTTTCAGATCTTTCGGACCTTTCAGACCTTCCAGACCTTCCAGACCTTCCAGACATATTCGAGCTAATATCAGGAAAATCTGGGTTTTCTGGTGTTTTACTGTTTTTCCTAGGGCCAATACTCGCAATTTCATCAGAACTATCAAATTCGTTTGTATCGATGAAAGATGATTTACTGTGACGAGGGCTGCTTTGATATTTGTCTGGAACTTGCAACTGATCTCGATAAAATGGGCTCAGATTCTCAGGTAGATCTCGCAGCGCTGCAGGAGAAAATCGTAGTTGGTATGCAGGGCTCATGGTATCAACGCTGACATCACGATGTTGTACTCCATCGGTTGGTTCGGAGGTAAAAGGAGGGGTAGTCAAAGGGACTTCAGATCGACTCAGAACCTCTGACTGGTCTGAGTCCATGATGGTCAATTTTTATTTTTTCAAATCGCAATCCATTCGATGGTACCAAGGGTGACGGCGGCACGATAAAAATGCATTCAGACTAAAAAGAAACTATCGCACAATTCATTTTACTTATTGTGAATTGAGGCACTTATTGTGAATTTATTCACTTTTTTTGGGTGGGATCACCGGGCAAAAAACAATTTTATCGCTGTTTTAAATTATAATTGCGTTTCTATTAATAATAAATTACTGGTCAGATGTTTAATTGAAATTGGTATTATCTTATGAAAAGTCAGTAATACGCTCTGTTGACGGATACATATATTCATTATTTTGTAAAATATGTTGCGATATTTTAGGAGTTTATTATTTTCTTTGAATAAAAGATTCAATGATTCAAAATAGTGATACGATTTTTTCATTTTATTCTTAAATTGAAATTGGTAGCTAATTGAAGCAGATTAATCTAATTGATGTATCTAGTATAATTTCTGACCGGATAGAATTAACGGTGAAATTTATCAATTTGATATAATTAATTTTACAACAGTTTCGTCACGAGATAATATCACAAACCACAGCTTTTCATCACGAGATCTCCGTCCAAATTTTCTGCTATGTTGTGGCTTGACTGGTAATAAGGTTTTGATTAAAGTTGTTGCTGTACGACCTTTTGATCTAAATTAGAATTGGCAAACTAATTGATGTATCAATTATAATGTCTGACCGGATAAACTGAACGGTGAAATTGCAATTGAAATGTATCAATTAGATATAATTACTTTTCACCAAAATAATAAGCCTGAAATAGACATGGTATAAAAAGTACAGATTGCATTAGAATTGTTTAATATAATCGTTTAAAATTATATTGATAAACGAATAGAGGAAGTTCGGCAAGGAAATATCACTTCAGTACTAGGAATTGGATTAATTCGTGTTTAAAATTTGTTCATTAATCATTTCCGATTAGAAAGAAATCTCCCGAATAGTAAGTTAATTTTCACAATAATTTAATAGTGGGATTATTGAGTTCGTTTTAACCTTCTTGTAAAAATTAATGGTTATTCAGTTACTCATTGAGTTGAACCTAAGGGTTATTTATCAAAAAGCTCGTTATCACAAAGTCAGGAGGACCTACAATATGACCTGCATCAGTTTATGATTGTGGGGGTTCAGCCTGATGCTTTTAAAGCTTGATTTCGAGGAAGCAGTCTTATCCAACAAACAGCAGCTATAAAAAGAATATCCCCACACTTTTTGTTTTAGGAACCCTCGTGGGCAACCAAGAAAGAAAGTGTTTCGCCGCCGCGACCGTTATTGATGGGTGGTTGGGAACTTGGGAGCTGAGAGACACGATCTCCTAAAATTTCACAACGCGCCCTGATTTGTTAAATAACTGCTTTCTCGAAATCAAGTTTCACAAAGATATCAGGCTGAACACCCTTAGCTTAGGCTTGAAAGTTCGTTCGATTTCGTCATTGATATGACCAACTCGTTCGTCAACTGTAATTTTGCTGAGTTAATATGCCATCCTCACAAAGTTAACATATCGCAATGGGAATCAGTTTGAAGCTGGACAAATTTAGGTCACAGCTTGTCACGAAATAGTGGGATAGGATCACAGTTTCGTCACGAGATCATATCACAGTTTGTCACGAGATCTCCGTCCATATTGTCTGCCATGTGACTGCCACTTGACTGGTGATTAGGTCTTGATGAAAGTTGCCGCTGCACGACCTCATGGATCCCTGACCCAGCCCCACGAGCTACACAGGATCTTTGTTGGGATTGTGAGTAGAAGGTTTTTGGTCGAGCCCGCATAAACATGGCTTTGTACGCCTCCCTGTGGGGCGGAAATTGTTTTAGTAAGTTGAAATTCTACTTTCGTTTCTCTTAAATACTACATCGAATGAAATCAGAATATTCCACTACATGCTCACGAAATATTTGTTATCGTAAATGCAAATACATATATGCGGTTATGCAGTTTTTGAACTAAGAGGATATAAACAACAAAATAATTTGAGTCTGGAACCTGTGATGTAAAGCATTACCTTAGTCGGTAATATTATGGCCTTATGGGGGGGGGGGGGGGGGGGGGGATTATGGGTGTTACAAATATGGACTGTTATAAATATGGTTCTTTGGCCCGAAAAGAACCAAATTTGACCCCCCACAATTTTAACTGCGACTTTCCTTTCGTGAAAAAATCGAAAATCGAAAATATTGATCCAATTTTTTTCACCAAAATTTGACTCGGGGGGTTAAATTATGGGGGGTAAAAATATGGACTGTTATAAATATGGTTCTTTGGCCCGAAAAGGACCAAATTATACCCCCCATAATATTACAGACTAAGGTATGCAAATTCGTCAAATTTTGCAAATAACTGATTTTTAAGTTAAATACTTGTGAGCTAAGTTTTTTCCGATACTTTGTCACAAATTTCGCAAAATGTTGGACACAGTACCAAACAAGTTTTAAAAGAAAGCAGATGAAATGAAGTCAGCAAAATTAGCAGGAATTTCAGCAGATTACGGAGCTTAAAGCGATTAGTAAAAACACGGAGTATCAGTCAAGCTGATGCTCCTTTTTTACGGTATAAAAGACATAATATCATGGTTCGGTTAGGTTGAATTCATCCAGGGAATATAACTGGGTTACTATAGTTTGTCATAAGCTACAGATTTCAGACATGACTGAAGTCAGAAGATAAGAAAAGGATTGTTGATAAAAACCCAGATGCAGAAGACGATTTCCACATACCTGACAATTTCTGTACCGTAAGATCTAAAAATAAACTCTGGTTCATTTGACTAGACAACTTATAATTTAACTTATAAGTTAACTTATGATTTAACTACTTATAATTTAATATTGAAATGGAGCCAATGATGATTTTATGATTCCATTAACATTCAACACTTATATTCATAGCTACAATGTTAAACAATGTCAAACGAGCGGTCAGTGAGCCATGTCGTCGTGATATTAGGCTCAATAATTAATCAAAGCTCTTCAATTTACAGATTTTTTCAGGATTACCTATGCCAACCTCATTTAATTATCTGATTTATATAATTTGTAGATAAATATTTATTATGATTGACAAAAAATACATGGATTAGCCAACACTGAGTTGTACTGGACAAAACTGATTGGTCGACTCTTGTCCGACAGTGACTATTTTCGGACTCTGCGAAACTAGGTTTTTCGGACAAAAGTTGCTGCCGGGTTTTACTGTACGATTTTCTTGAAACTTTCCAGATAGTAAAATGGTTATAAGACGGATAATCTGTGGAAGTTTGGGCGAGTTTCTATGTGCCAAATATGAGGTATCACTTCAAACCCAAGAAAATATCTCCAAATCGGTGGTTTGCAGTGGTACCAAGGCATATATGATATATCTCGAAATCCAAACATAATACAGGGTGGGCCAAAAGTCAGTACCCATACGTTGGCCTTAATAGCTCCGCCGTGTTTTATATTTGAGAGCTGTTGCTTTGCAGATTGCATACTGTACTTACTGGTTCGAGGATTCCGTCGTCAAAATTTGAAAATTCGAATATTTTAGACCACGCCCATTCAATATTAAAACACCTATATTGTTTTCTCTGAACATGCTGAACGCCTAATTTTTTCAGAGACGGTAGACTATCAAATGTTACATATGATCTGAAAACATGAGGCAAAACGGATTAGAAATGACGAAGTTATCAAGCATTTTCTGTATCTCGTTAACAAAATTGACTGGGTGATTATGTGACACCGTGACACGACACCTTAATTGGGCACTCTTAACAATTCCCATAATGTTTAACGGGGTAGTTAACGGGGTCACCTTATCACGTGATTAGGTAATCCAATCACCTGATCACACGTAATGAATAAACTCGTTATGCTTCATATCTCGGTCATCTGAGAAGCTACAGTTTTAATTCTTTCAGGACGAACGTAATTCGAATGGCCAAACACAATTTAATAACATTAAGCTTGATCCAACTATCCAAACTATCAAATAAATGTGAAAATGAACCTCCATTTGAAAAAAATGAACGCGAATATTTTTCGAGTTGACAAATTCCTCGAACCAGTGGTGGTACTAAGTCATATCAGAAGGAAGTATTTAAATTGGGCACTCAGTGACTGAGCTATAAGTATAAAGGCCAACGTATGGGTACTGACTTTTGGCCCACCCTGTATTTCCTTCAAAGGTTCCAGATAGTAAAATGTCTTTAAGACGGAAAATTTGTGCAAGTGTGCGCGACTTTTTATGTGCCAAATTTGAGATACCACTTAAAGCACAAGAAAATAGTGCTGTCGGACAAGACTCGTGTTACCGTCAAAAACTCATTTCAACAGTAAATCTCACCTGAACCGAATATCAAACAACCCGTAGACCACAGGGTTTATTGCAGAATGAGAGAGGGATAGAGTGTAAACTAAAAAAGCTGCCCTCATCGAGATAAACTTGTTGCTGATGTAGGCGATAAGACAAACGATTAGGATGGGTCCAACACACACCAGGAATACCCCGACTATTATCAGAACCTGACAAAAACCATTGTTAGAATCTTTCAAATGTTATCAGAAACTGTTACAAGCGATGATGGAACGCTTGCAGAGGATTATTCATCGAGAAGAAACCGAATCACCATTGATTATTACACGTCCATGGATATGTGTATTTGATTCATAAATTGGAAGGTAATAAAAATAAATCTTTATGACAAAATCTTCGTTGAAACCCGTATTGAAGATTTAGCTGATCTTGACTTGAAAAGTTTTAGCGACAACTTTGACTTAGTCTTTTCTAGTTTTCCTGATAGAAGAACAATTATGCCAAACAAAATAAAAATGAGCACACTAATTAAATATGTAGTACGAAAGTCGATATGATAACACATTGATTATTCTAACGAATATGAATATGAATTTTGATAAATTAAAGTAATTATTTCATACAGATTTACTGACCTATATTACCGTCACCATTAGCAGCCATTGCGGGGTAAACCATGAGACCACTGTTTCTAGCGAGGGCCCGTACCCCGGGTATAGGTGTGGTGGGTGGGGTGACAAGTTTAGTTGGGGTGCCTGGTCTTTGTGGTCTGCTGGGGGACACTTTATTAGATCCTTTATAAACAGATAATCGGTATTAATCAACACTTATAAGTGTTGATTAACACCTATATATCATATAAATATTAAATATGATATAAAGGTGTTCACTGTTCAGGCTTTGAAGAGAGAGATTAAAAAAGGCTTCACGGAATTTACAGTATAAAACCGATTTGATTAATTACAATTTATTGATATAGTCAACATTTAAAAAGTGTTTTAACATTGGCAATTCAGCAATACACGTACACAAATTAACACGTAATTTACTATGGCAAAAATACCACTTTCGCAAGTCACCACCAACTTCGTCATAATTTTTCAGAAGAGAGACTAATTTTGAAAATCGTTTGTATAAAACCGATTTTGACTATTTTAGGCCCTGGTGACAAGCCTAGATCTTTTATGGCCACATATGCCACTCCCACTGTCCTACTGGCGCCATATGCCACTCCCACTGTCCTACTGGCCCCATATGCCTCATGCATATAATCTAACAGTACTACACTGCAGTACGTTGATTCCCTTCGTTTTAAGAGAACGACACGTTGATTAAAACAAATATGCTTCCTATGCATTATGCTTAAAACAATGATTTCAGAGCGATTTACGCCACTAAACGAGAATTGACCTTTCTGCTTTCAAGCGAAGAGCCTTCTTTCGCCTCCATTTCAGCTTGAAAAACCTGCAAAAGATTCAGCGTACAGCAAAGATAAAATCAGCAGTATAAAGGAAGTCAACTCATGATGTTTTGAAATGACGTTGGCAACAAATATCATAGGAAATTTCAGTACACATTTTGTTGCTGTTTTTATCTTTATATAAATTTTACCAAAACCCATAATCATGGGTAGAGTGGACCGCTGCCAGTGTCTCTCTTTCCCAAACAAAAGGAAATGATATTAATTTGATTGACCGTTCTCAAATGCAAAATGATACCGAGAATGAATCGGTCGCTCGCTTTTCCCATCCATTCACGGCTTACGAATTGTAATAAGTTTCGATTGATTACATCAATCAGATGCTGTAAAAATCTCTTTGGGTTGCGTTCGGGTCGATACCTAGTATTTCGGGGTAAGGGTGGTAGTTATTACTTATTGAATTAGCTGAAGTTTATTGAATCTTTATTGCCGAGTACAGCTGCCTTTGGGTAGTTCTTCTTAAAATCTGTTACAATTGTAAATGAATGGGAAAAGCGAGCGACCGATTTCATTCTCGGTATCATTTTGCATTTGAGAACGGTCAATCAAATTAATATCATTTCCTTTTGTTTGGGAAAGAGAGACACTGGCAGCGGTCCACTCTACCCATGATTATGGGTTTTGGTAAAATATCATCTCTTTTTGATTATAATGTCAGGGTACTTTATAAAGTCGAAATATAAACTGATATCTTCATTAATAAGGAGGAAGTTTCAACGATTTCGAAATTTGTCCTTTAAAAACATTTCCTTGTGTTTAGGTAAGCATATCGGTCGATCACTGACTGAATATGCCACCTAATACTCATTCAAGTTGGCATTAAATTCATATATAATGACATTAAACTGTCGTGGCAAAGCAGAATTTGTTGGAAATTACGAATGAGCAAAATTCTCACCTTTCGCACGTGCAAACTTTGAGCGGACGTTGCGTGCGCATCCAATATTGAATCGCCCTAAATTTTTGCATGTAATTGTTTTATATATAGTTTAATAAGCATGCAAAGTTTCAAAGTATTTCAAGAAGAACTGTAATCACAACGGCACTCTAAAGTTGACAGAAAATGACGAAAACAGCAATTTTCAGTGATTTTAGCAATTTTCTATCAATTTGGGCGTGTCCCCACGTGTGCAACTTTTCGATTTTCAACTTCAAAACTAGCCTAATGCACAATTTATACCTATAGGAAGCAGAACTGAGCTCCTCAACTCAAGGCATGGCCCAACACCAGAGAATACTAAATCGCAAAATTGACGTTTTTATAAAATAATTCTTCAAAAAAGCACAAACTTCAATGACGAATATCTTTATGAAGGAGCAAGCTAGAAAAACTTTCCGGTAGATTTTCAGAATGCTTGAACAATTATCTAAGATGAAAATTTCCTCAGATTTTGAATTTAATTACTTTTTAATGGTGTAAAATCATTTTTAAAAGTGATTACTTTGTCAAAAATCAAGTTTTAAAAACGGTTAACTTGATGACGTCATCAAGGGGTGTTCATGACGTCAAATAATTTGTTTATACAATGTAAACTAAAGTGTAAACAATTATTTTCAAGACCTGTGGTCGGAAATGGCTGTATCTTTTATACTTTTGAATCTATGGACACTTAAATACAGGTTACAATTGACTGGCAAAGCGTCTATCCCTGAATATATATCACAGTGCTGGCAAGCACGACCGTTGCATTTATTGTGGGTATACTATGTTCCCCATTTACTATTATACCCCCTTTACTATTATACCCCCTTTGGTACACGTTACAAGCCTCTTTTGTGCACGCAAAGCGTGCACTCCGGCCGGAGGCGGCGGCCGAAGGCCGCCGCCTCCGGCAGGAGTTTTCCAGGCATTAAGACTCATCGGAAGTCGTTAAGCAGAATTATTTTTAGTTCAAAACATTCTAATTTGATGTCAAAGATGACAGGAATAAAAAATAGTTATGTTGAGATTTTTAAGAAATTTGCATAAAATACTCGCCAGCACTGTTATACGAAATTCGGTAAAAAACCCAAAATCGCCATATTCAGGTGCCTTAAAAACCATGTTAAAATTGAGTTAGAGATCTGAAATTTTTCAGGGCGTCTAGACGTTGATCAAATCGACTGCAAAAAAAGTTTCAGGTTTCAGGAGTATCGGGAAATGGGTTTTCTAGAACCCCTGTTTTACGACAGATTGTCGTGATATATATATATATATATACATATTCAGGGATAGACGCTTTGCCAGTCAATTGTAGCCTGTATTTAATTGTCCATAGATTCAAAAGTATAAAAGATAAAGCCATTTCCGACCACAGGTCTTGCAAATAATTGTTTACACTTTAGTTTACATTGTATAAAAAAATTATTTGACGTCATAAACACCCCTTGATGACGTCATCAAGTTAACCGTTTTTAAAACTTGATTTTTGACAAAGTAATAACTTTTAAAATTAATTTTAAACCATTAAGGAGTAATTTTATTCAAAATCTGAGGAGATTTTCATCTTAGATAATTGTTCAAGCATTCTGAAAATCTACCGGAAAGTTTTTCTAGCTTGCTCCTTCATAAAGATATTCGTCATTGAAGTTTGTGCTTTTTTGAAGAATTATTTTATAAAAACGTCAATTTTGCGATTTAGTATTCTCTGGTGTTGGGCCATGCCTTGAGTTGAGGAGCTCAGTTCTGCTTCCTATAGGTATAAATTGTGCATTAGGCTAGTTTTGAAGTTGAAAATCGAAAAGTTGCACACGTGGGGACACGCCCAAATTGATAGAAAATTGCTAAAATCACTGAAAATTGCTGTTTTCGTCATTTTCTGTCAACTTTAGAGTGCCGTTGTGATTACAGTTCTTCTTGAAATACTTTGAAACTTTGCATGCTTATCAAGCTATATATAAAACAATTACATGCAAAAATTTACGGCGATTCAATATTGGATGCGCACGCAACGTCCGCTCAAAGTTTGCACGTGCGAAAGGTGAGAATTTTGCTCATTCGTGATTTCCAACAAATTCTGCTTTGCCACGACAGTTTAATGTCATTATATATGAATTTAATGCCAACTTGAATGAGTATTAGGTGGCATATTCAGTCAGTGATCGACCGATATGCTTACCTAAACACAAGGAAATGTTTTTAAAGGAAAATTTCGAAATCGTTGAAACTTCCTCCTTATTAATTAATGAAGATATCAGTTTATATTTCGACTTTATAAAGTACCCTGACATTATAATCAAAAAGAGATGATATTTTACCAAAACCCATATTCATGGGTAGAGTGGACCGCTGCCAGTGTCTCTCTTTCCCAAACAAAAGGAAATGATATTAATTTGATTGACCGTTCTCAAATGCAAAATGATACCGAGAATGAAATCGGTCGCTCGCTTTTCCCATTCATTTACAATTGTAATAGATTAAGAAGATCTACCCAAAGGCAGCTGTACTCGGCAATAAAGATTCAATAAACTTCAGCTAATTCAATAAGCAATAACTACTACCCTTACCCCGAAATACTAGGTATCGATCCGAACGCAACCCAAAGAGATTTTTACAGCATCTGACTGATGTAATCAATCGAAATTTATTACAATTCGTAAGCCGTGAATGAATGGGAAAAGCGAGCGACCGATTTCATTCTCGGTATCAATTTGCATTTGAGAACGGTCAATCAAATTAATATCATTTCCTTTTGTTTGGGAAAGAGAGACACTGGCAGCGGTCCACTCTACCCATGAATATGGGTTTTGGTAAAATATATATGTATGTATATATGTATCACGACAATCTATCGTAAAACAGGGGTTCTAGAAAACCCATTTCCCGATGCTCCTGAAACCTGAAACTTTTTTTGCACTCGCTTTGGTCAACGTCTAGACGCCCTGAAAAATTTCAGATCTCTAACTCAATTTTAACATGGTTTTTAAGGCACCTGAATATGGCGATTTTGGGTTTTTTACCGAATTTCGTATAACAGTGCTGGCGAGTATTTTATGCAAATTTCTTAAAAATCTCAACATAACTATTTTTTATTCCTGTCATCTTTGACATCAAATTAGAATGTTTTGAACTAAAAATAAATCTGCTGAACGACTTCCGATGAGTCTTAATGCCTGAAAAAACTCCTGCCGGAGGCGGCGGCCTTCGGCCGCCGCCTCCGGCCGGAGTGCACGCTTCGCGTGCACGAAAGAGGCTTGTAATGTGTACCAAAGGGGGTATAATAGTAAAGGGGGTATAATAGTAAAGGGGGTATAATAGTAAATGGGGTACATAGTATACCCACAATAAATGCAACGGTCGTGCTTGCCAGCACTGTGATGACTAGTGTAACCCGGCCTACGGCCGGGATTTCACTGCCGCAGTTAAAAAGGGTAGGAGTAATTACCCGCTGAGTCAAAACCCGCATTAGGTGACCCAATAGTTTCTTAAACAATAATCTCATAATCAGTTATTTCTTGTGGATAATTAAGTCATTATTAGCCATGAGGCACCACACTCCATGATCATTATAAGGTCTGAACACCGAGTATTACACCTTATCACTCCCGTCTTGAACCGCTTTCTATTTTTATTTAAATCGTTATAGAAATTAACCCTTGTTAACTCCGCACCACACCCGCATATTATATTTGAAAACACGCATAACGCTGTCTTATGAAAGTATGAAATCTCCCTACAGTTGAAACAAAGCGGCCGCAAGAGAGAGCTCTGATATTACGTGGGGCTAAACTAATTACGGTACATGTTATCCTCCTCGTTCTCTCTCCCATCCATTTATGTCACATTTCTGGAACAAAATCATCAATTAAACCACTTACCACCGGCCGATTTTTTAAACAATTTGCTTATGGGCTTCGTCAGAGTTTTGTCGACACTATACCGAAAAAACCAGTCCCGTAACTTTTACCGTCTTTTTTGTATAACCGTTCGGAAATTTCAAACATACACACACACACACACACACACGGATTTCTTGGTTTTATTAAGGTTGATTACATTACTGGACCCTATCTGTACTAAGAAACCGACAATAATTGGGAAGTTTAACTATAAGGTAACGATAATTAGTGATTCTCAAGAAGTTTCCCGGTAAACAAAGATTTACCATAAAGACCTTAAGACCTGGGCCACCAGAAATATTACATCAGTTCAGGGACAAAAGGAAATCGCGGCATGTACGGAATCGCGATTTTTCCTATTATTTGCGACAAATTTTATGTATAGTTTAATATACCGCGAAATGTACCTAATTCGCGGTATCGCGATTTTTGGCCAAAATCGCCGCGAAATCCTTTTGTCCCTGCATCAGTTATACCACTTAACGATGATTGTAAGATCCTTTTTTAAAGATCACCAAGTGACTTTGGACTTTCAGGTCAGCAGAAGTTATATTTTTCCCTAGTCCCTAACAAATTAATTTTAAGATGTAGCTTATTTACAAAAGTTTATTTACGAAGGGTTCAAGCCTATTTATAGGCTTATAAACGTTGTGTGTTTCCCTTCGTGACCAAATGCAATATACTTTTATCATGTTTTGTTAGGTAATTGATAGTGGCAGCCTCAATATTTTAACAGTTCACAGATAGCAAACAATTATATGACTATATGAGACACGAGTTATGATAACAGCCATTATAAATGATACGGGAAAACGAACTTTATTGACTGGTGTGAACTGGAAGAACTACACACGCTCTCCCTTCTGTCGTTACGTGTGTTTATGCTTGTTGGATTGAAATCAAGAACACTGAAAATCATACAGTCAACAATGTTATAGCTGTGGATTCTGGTGGAAAGGTGAAGCATATTTTTTAAATGTGACAGCGATGAACTCATCAGCTTCCACTGATGACCAACCAAATTCTAAAATCACGTCTGCCGCACGTGTCAAAAAATATGCCTCACCTCCCCTCAGAGTTTGATCATCGAGAAATTAATTATGAGAATAGGGAGGTTAAAAATATTTCGAGCTGGTCATTATTGCATTAATCCTGTTTTCAAGATAACAAATCATACTAAATTGCAATTAATTAGAAAGAATGAGTGGTATTGAAGATTAGCAGTTTTAGCGAACATACATTTCGTACTGGACTGGCAGTAGCTCCAGTCTTGTAATAGTGGTGGTACGTCTCCTAGTAAAGTTCTAACATTCATGCTAATTTTCTGTATCATGCAATTAAATAATGAGAGCATCAATTAGGGGGCATCGGGGTGGGGTATTTCATTTATAAATTATTTATAGTTTGATAAATAAAATATTTATAGATAAAGAATCAGCATACAGTAAATCATGTGAAATCATAAACTAAGAATCAGTCATATTCAGGGAATGCATTATGTAGTATACAAGCCCGATCAAGTAAAATCACAAATTTATGACCGATGGTTTAGGCTGGTTGGTTTGAATAAATTTTACTACCTCAAAACGGACTTTTATTTTCAAAGCAAGACCAATAGTCCACATAGGACGGGCACACCGCTAGTATTTATAATAGATCAGAAGAAATCACAAATTTAGGATTAGTACAATTCAGAGCGGGCCTAGTACTTCAACTTGAGCCTGAAGTCACACAAAATGCAAGATGTAAGAATGCAACATACATCAGAGAGGCTGCAACTGCTACTCGTATGAATTTCATTCTGACATTGTTATTGTTTCCCCTAATAAAGATCAAGGAATAATGCAAATTTTGCATATCATGCAATCATTGCCATGTAGCTGAGAGAAAATTTTTTACTTTGTACTTGTAGACCACTGTTCAAAGTACATGTTTGCCCAACGAAAATCAAGAAATCGCCAACCTTTCATAGTTTATAAGTTTATAAACAGAAAAAGGATGGGGCACTGTAATTAACAAAAAAAATCAAAATTTAGCTCTTCTTCCCAGTACCGGAGCGTTCTAACTTGAAAATATTAATAAAAGTTGTTAATTAAGCTGACGTATGATTAAATTTAATTAATTATGTAATAAATGTAAAACCCAACAAACCTGCGTCTATCCTGTGAAGGATTCTCTGCAAAGTTAGACAGCGCCACACTGAGTATGATAATATAGGATATCACAACTACAAATATAGGGAGGAACAGGACCAGGACTATGAAAGTCATGAAGTAGGACCCGAATTCTGATCCACAGTTGAATGTTAAGGAGGAGAAGGAATAGCTGAAAGGAAAGGGTTTCGTTAATTCCTCAATCCTCATGGACGAAGAAAAGATCTTAAGATCTGGCGATATGATGATATGGCGAAATCGGCGAGATCGGTCTATTTCCATTTTCGAAAGCGAAACAATTTTCACATTTTTTTTTCATGAGGAAAATGGTGTATATCCGGAGTAATTAAACATTTCCAACTTACTGGCTCCATCCAAAAAGAGGTGCAGCAACAAAACCTCCAACAAGCAGTGATAGTATGAAGAGTCCTATCAGTACTTTCTTTCTTATGGAACGCTGAAATTGTTCAGTTCTCGGTGTTGGTTTCATCGTGCTATTTTATACAATGACTTACCAACAATTTAAAGTCCCATAGTAGTTTTTATTCGACTTCATCTAATAAAAAACAGGAACAAACATTTGCAAACAAGAATAGAGATTAAATAGTATAGTGTTACAATACCTGTTTGACCCTGAAAGGATCAAGTACGCTCATAGCTCTGAAAGCAGAGAGAGTGGCCAGGGTCCAGATGCTCTCCATCATTACCATGTTATCAACAAACGCTGTTATGTTACACATCGTCGCTCCGAATACCCACCTGTCAAGACATTGCTTTAATTAAATAATCAAGCTTGAATGTTGAACGAATACCAAACATTACAAAATTAGTAGTATTTATTTTGTCACCCAAACCCAAACCATGAGGCCCAATATGTTTTAAAATAACATGGTGAACACAGATTGTCTGTTCTCGGTTAAGATATGATAAAATGATGGCAAATAGGTACAATGCTGACCGGCTATAAACCGGCTAATAGCTGGTTAATAGCCGGTTAATAGCTGGTTAATAGCCGGTTAATAGCCGGTTATTAGCCGGTTATTAGCCGGTTAATAGCCGGTTAATAGCCGGTTAATAGCCGGTTAATAGCCAGTCGGCATTGTCAATTGTACCTAATAGCCGAAATGATAACAACACATGGCACATACCTCTCCGCTAGCAGAGTAGTGATCATGACAGGGATACTGAAGCAGCCCACAACAAAGTCACAGAAAGCCAAGTTAAAGATGAAACAGTTATTTGTAGTTCTCATCTTGGAGGATTTGACTGCTATCGTCAAAACGAGGGCGTTTCCTGGGGAGGGGGGTATTATTTGTTACTGTAATTAAGTAATTGGGGTTTATTCAATAGTTATTCAATTTAGCAAAAATTAAAAATCTGTCACACATATGTGTAGATGAGGAACCCCATGGGTGGTGCTTTCCCGAAAATCAGAAGAATGAAATTGAAATTCATGATTAGCTTACTAAGAAGTAAAAACGTTTCCAGAAATATTTCGGATATTTTGAATCTTACCAAAGAATGCGACAGAGCAGATGATAGACAGTAAAAAGAGGAAACCAATCTTGTCAGATTGTGACAGCCAGTCTGCGGCAAGAGGGTCCTGCCCCTGGGGAATCATGGTCACGTTCGCCATCGTTTTTTCTTCTACAAGAATTAACACGGTTTCGTTCATTGCAGACAGAGTATCCTGCACTAAAGATATCGTTAATTTTCAACAGTTTTATTCGGATCAGATTGAAATCTTAAAAGTAAAAGTAGTGATTTAATAACAGTTCTCGATTCACAAGACCACTTTCAAGAATTAAACCCACAGGTGATCATTAGCGATGTCAAAAAAAGCATAGTCGATAATTTAAGTTTATAGTTTAAAGCAGAAATAAGAAGTTGCTTTATAATTGTTGCGTTCTAATAACAAGATATTGAAACTGATGTTAATAAAAATAAGCGCACAAAACCGATATGTGAAAGTGAAACCGATATGTTAAAGGGTTTTTGCAAACCCTTAAAGTTTAAGTTTTTATGAGCAGTTTATAGCTGCATTTAAAATGTGCGTTGCTCGCATTTCAGCTTAACTATGACGATGTAAAACAAGACAAATTAAACAAACCTCACTATAATAAACGACAAACACCATTGCAGAACCTTCTTAAGATCAGTTCGCAATACAATATTGCAATATGCTCTGATTAAAAATAAGCTCTTTCAACATTTATCTTCATATTATTACATCAATGCATTCAGAGCTTTAAGAACAATAATTGTTTCAATTTATTTGTTTGCGTCCACACTCCACGTGCGGCTAGTATACAAAAGTTAAACAATTGCATACCATCGACAATAAAATGAATGTTTAAAATTAGTATCGGTATAAATTAGCGGCCAACGTTATGAACAACTCAAACTATAAACAAAAGAGGGAAAATACCCAAATAAGGGTCGTCGCATCAATAAATTTAAGCGTCAATAAATTTAAGCGTCAATAAATAAGCCAATATAATATAAATGTAAAGAAAGAGCTGCGAGGTAAAATAAAATATTTTAAATAATGATCATCAAATTACTTTAATAAGTTGGCGTGGAATTTTTAAAGCTTGGCATTGCACAGATCAATTACGTGTTGTCATGCCAAACAAAAAGGTTTATAGACAAACAATTGATTTCGACAAATTCTTAGCATTCTTACTTGCTTAGATGAACGTAAATGTATTAATTGCATCTATGACTAAATAGTTCTATCGAATACCCATATGCCATCATATATGTTTTGGTCGACAAATTCGTTAGATTGTAAACAAATACTAGCAGTGCTAGTATTTGTTTACAATCTAACGAATTTGTGTACGTGGTAGTCTAGCAGTAGTTTAACAAGCGGTTATTTTGGCATCTATCTTGGGCAACAGCGCCTATCAAGCATAACCATTAAACTATTAAAGAAGGCGATGATAATTGAAACTGAGATGAAGATAAACCAAGGCTCGTATTTTGGCAGAGATAAACTATGTTAGCTTTACAGAAAGTGGTGGTTCTAATGGGACACAACAAAATGGAAAAGTGCATAGATTCAATGTTCCCAGCAAAAATACCTTCTTCACAGATTGGGACCAAATGAAATATTTTCCACTAAAATCTATGATTCATGATCATCTAACGATTTTGCCATATTGCCGATATTAATGATGAGCATCATCATAAGAACACCTTAGCGTGGTATAAAAGCTTTGAGTCGCCGTATAATCGCTGCGAGTAAACCAGTAAACCGACAATCTGTATGAGTTATAATAATAAAACTGGCAGATTTAAGTTTTTACTAGCAGAGCAATACAAGCTTTGAGCGGTAAGAGATCGCTTATAAGACGGCAAATTGTTTTAATATTTGTGGGCAATAAGCTTAACATTTTTACATTAAATGTTTTTTTTTGAGGTTACGACTTTTGCAGACTGGCAAGCACAATCCTTTAATAACTTACGTAATTATGGGAAAGTTTTTCAATTATCAAATCAAATGTGTTTAGAAAATATTAAGTTCTTAACTCAAACTTCAAAGAATTATCATTTTATGACAAGAATAGTGAAAATAGGGAGTAGCCTGCCACGCCTACTGTAATCAATAAAATTGTACAAAACTTTCAAGAAATTAAAGTTTGACCCAAACTTTGAACATTTTCTGCAATTCTGACACGAATTATGAGAATTTCGATTAATAAAGGGTTGCGTGTGGGCAGTTAGTTCTTGGCAACCCTGTAGATTTACCACCAACAAGGTTCAGTGGGCCATCGGTAACAGGAGAAATATGTCTAGGGATTCTTATGATAACTCTATTCACAGTATAGATTTTATAGAGTCAACTCCAGAAAACAAACTCGACAAAAAAGTTCAACATGCGACTCCAGAACTTGGTTATTCCGATTTATTTACAGTACAATAAAGGTACTGGCTCTTATAATCCAGCAGATGAGGACCCTTACGTAGGGAGTTTGTGGCAGGTGATTTACTGAACAAGCACAATTACAAATTCAGAAGAGATATCAGACATATTACCCGATTATACCAGACACAATCAGGCATTATGTCACAACGAGACATGCAATACGACATATTATTAATATTATCATGTGTCATACTCATAAATCTTCTGAAGGTTACAAGCATAAACGGGTGGCGCTGATCATTATAACACAGACTATACTACCACTCTCCATTCTCCAATATCTACCACGTAGTTAATATAAGATAGATCGTGTCTGATATTGGTAAGATATAAAATATCGGGTTATTATATACGGAGCTATGTAATAACCATATAGTCAGGTGTAACAATAGTAGAGAAGTTACGGTACAATTAGATGGTGTTGTTACTAGTAGGCCGGGGTGCAGGACACCTCGACTACCTGGTACAATCCCTGATGCACGTGTCAACGATTAACCAATCAGCTTCCAGCACTGACCAATTAAATCCCAAAATCACTGTCACGTGGCAAAACAAATGGTAAGTTTCACCTCCCATAAGAAATTCGCAAATATTAAAACGTGATCAGGACACCTTTACTACTACCTCGGACCTCCCCCCTCCTCTCTCTCTCTCCCTCTCTCCTTCTCTCCCTCTCCTCCTCTCTCTCTCCTCCTCGCTCTCTCTCTCTCTCTTCGAGCGGAGACAAATATGTTATATCTTTACTAGCAGTCGCTCTCCTGAGTCTCATTTAATTAATGAGAACCAGGGACTTTCTGGCACTTTAACCGTCCCCCTGATTGTGCCTCCATAATGTCCATATCTAATTTTGTTAATTGATAACAATAAGGGGACTAAAGTCTTAAAATATCGCTACAGAGCACCTTTAAGGTTCTTAAGTTCTGAGTTACAACACCTTCTAATTTGAGGGAGCAAATTACCCTCCTACTCCTATAGTTGTAAGAGGGCTGACATTTGACTTTCCAAATAGAGATTTTTACTGGGTCAAACGGTTGGGATTGTATCATCTTGTTATGTATTTGGGATTAATGGGTTGTAGATTTTCATAATTGGAGCTGGAATGTGCTCATTATTACTAAGATCATAATTTTCCTGCTCCCTGAGCAGTGAGCACTGTAGAATTCAAATAAAATCTAAAAAATGGGGAGAGCTCAAGTAACCTTGTGTAGTGCTATAGATCAAAATACATCTACATTTGGTAACATCTCACTACTAACTACTTCTCTAGATCTGGTAAGTGCAGTATAATCGACAGCATACGGTCTCCATTCATAAAGGATATATGGATACAATTTGTGCATTAATTAATGCTATATTTCTACTATTTGTCCTAATTCTTAAAGTGCTCTCATTTTATGCCATCAGCTAATGGACCAAAGTTCATAAATTAATAAAATTCGTTCTACCCCTAAGATGTAATTCTCGATTTACAACATGCCCATTTCTTCAGACATGATGTCCATATCGAATGATGGTTCTCGGTTTAGAACAAAGATTGAAATTTCATTGCAATTTATATAAAAAAGCAAGATCGATCAATACTTTTAATATCAGCTGATCATTGAAACGTAAAACATTTACTGGAATTAAACTGGAATTAAACTGGAATTAAACTTGAAATTACCAAGGAGAACACTAACAAACTCGTTTTGGCTATACATCAATTCATAAATAAGTTCAGATATAAAACAAAAGCCGAATAAAAGTATGAAAATAAAATCTTAAAATTTAACCGCGTTACAATATCACGAAAAATTCCTGAACAGCTTTAGTATTAAAAAACGAAGATTTTCCTTGATCAAATGGACCTGGGCCTCAAAAACCTTTAAAATTTATACAAAATTAAGTAAGAAAATCGAATATTTTTGATAGAAGCCTGCTCATTTGAAGGCTAATTACTACATGTGACAGGGAAGTCAATTTGTCTAACAGTTAATTGGTTCGAAATTGATCGTTGGGAAATTCGGGACGAAATGGTAAAATGTTTTATATTTATAATGATATTATATTAACACACAAGTTGAATGGCTATAATATGACAGAGCGAATATAATTACATATTTGACAGGATATTTTGGAAGTTATTCTGTGCGGAAAATTGGCAGTAAATTTGTCCAAATTTTTTGGTTATCCGATTCCAAAGAGTTGCATTGCAGGTTAAAATTGTCATTAATAATAATAAAATGTTGACAAACAAGCCCTAAGTAGCAAATTATGATATTCAAATGAAATGCATGTTCAAATATTTGTTTCTTCAACTTATGAAGGTAGGACTAGAAATCTTCAAAGTCTTACCAGCTGCAAAACCGCATGATGAACAGGAAGAAAAGCTCTAATATAAGTTTTTAAATCACAGCAGAACTTTGCTCTCTGATACAAAACCCAATGTGGTGACGACCATATCAGCTGATCAATAAAAACCATATCTAGCTGGAACATTTAGCAAGGTCCCTTTATCAGATCCAGAGCGGTCTACCGTCTAGACCTGTAGTGTAGTAACGGAGATATCAGGTACCGTATCTAGATCTGTACCTGCAGGTTCTAGCGACTGTAATTATTATATAGCGAGATATCGGCATGGGAAACTGCAGTAAGAATTACCATCGTGTGCTCTGTGCCATGTTTTAAAGCTGCTCTAATAGTTACAGATGCAGTCCACGTGCTTTGTTCTTTATTAATTTATATGAAGGGTATAAAGTAGGTATTCAGGGCTAGTTCAGACTTGACGGGAACCGTACGGATATTTTAGATTTTATTGCGGCAATCTGACCGGCAGTGGGATCATTTAAACTGCACATGGGACGCCCGTTATATAATGCATGACCCGAACGATATCAGGATTCAGGACTATATTCCGCGTTCGGCGTTAAAGAGATTATGACTTCTTCCTTATATAACTACTTCAAACTTGGCTTGTGAGCTAGGCCTGGCATTTAAATACTGTCGCGGCCTCTTCAAAATAACTCGTAAAATTGCTAGATTAACCACGTAAACGGTATTATAGTTGTCGCTCTTATTATAGGAATATCTGATTAATGTTCAAAGAACTCGAAATACCGTTTAAAATTAGACAGGTAATACGTGGTTATTTGGTTTAAATTAAATTTTAATGATAATCCAACGAGATCTTCAAAATATCGTTAAACTTAAAGAGGTATAGTCAAACGGTTTGTACGTTAAATATGTTGAGCACCGCGTCATGCAGCCACCAAATATACTAATATATGACACGGGCGGCCTTTAAACTAAATTGTCGAGAACCTTTAAAATTAAATGATTGAGCAAGAAAGATGGTCAATCGACGGTCAGCTATAATATAGTCCCAGAATTTTAACTGAAATCAAGGTCGCACATTGCGAATTCAACCCGCCACTACTAGTGCAGAGTACTTGAAACCAACTACCAGGCCGACCATATGACACGTGTAGTGACAGGTCAAATAGCACGTGGGCACGCACGTGGGGGCCATCCTCGTCTTGATAACGTCTCAAGCGTGCAAGATCATATCTGCCTGTTATTCTGGGAGTGAACATGAAATTTAAATAAAAGTGATCAGTACGACTACGAGTGGGCGTATAAGGCTCTCCTACATGTGTCTAGCAGTAGCATGTCCCCAGGATGGAGGGATCAGAGGTGGCTGTCAAAGTGTCAAGAAGTTTGGATCCCAAAATGTAATGTAGTGTCATGCAACCTGCCAAAATTTTTAATAAATACCGAACATATGAACATGATTTCGCGAGGAGTCTCAAATGGGATTTGGGGAGGACAACCAGCTTGATCTGTACCGTAAAACCACTTAATCTGCAGTTTAATTAAAACATAGGTTCATTTCAGTCTGACAAGCTGCCGACTCAGGTGAAATTGAACTATTACTCACAGATCACGGCTCTGAGAGTGCAGTATATTGTAACCTAGACGAGGGGGGACTGCATGAAGTACGAACTGCACGTATGAAGTGCATGTGGAGCAGCCTCTCGGCAGAGCCACAATTCCGCTGTTAAGTGGCTTAAGAAACAGGGCCAAAATTAAGGTCGAGGCGACACATTAAGCCACTCAACTGTATCAGAGGAGAAGATATCAGCTAATTGTAACGGGGAGTGTGACGTCAACAAGGGCAATTAGAAGCAGAGTCAGAGATTTACAGACATATCATTCTAACAGAGGGGCCTGCAGGGCAACTACACATTTACACGAGTAACAAACCGAAGAAGGCGCCATCCTTGGGGGGCAAATCCTTTGATAACGATACAATGCTTACATTTGAAGTTTTGTTTGTCAAATTATTACTGCCTAGTAAGCATGGCTGGGTAAAATCATAAAGTCTCGTCATTTGAGTCTTTTTTTTTATAACACAGAGAATACTAGAAGATGGAGAGTCTTCCAATAAAGACTATTTTCCCAAAGAAACAGCGGCAAAGCTTAGTCTGAAGCTCGAACCATAATATATCTTTAGTCTTCAGACTGAGCTTGATTTGTATATTATTAGTATTTAGTATACCCTATTGTACTAAACATGAAAACATTAGTGCCATGTCAACTTCGTGGCTTCAAGAGAAATGACATCGACTAATGATTAAAGCTTACTCACTCACTGTGATCCTGTAATATTGTAACAGCAGTGACGCGCCAGCTTTAACCTAACTGTTTCGTAAATGTAGATGAGGATACTAATGGTAACAGCAATTTAAAACCTAGACAGCAGCAATTAGGTGCAGTGTTACAGAGATATCATTGCTTCATTGAAACAGATGCTGCTCGGTGGAGGAGGACCACATGGCAAGGTGCTTTACTTAGTTACGTATAGTGCACTATTATAAAGCTCTTTACGTAGTTACGTATAGTAACTATAGTATAGTAACTATAGTATAGTAACTATAGTAACTAACTATAGTATAGTGCAATATTATAAAGGAGTAGTGAACATGGCGAGAATTTTTAGGGGGTCTAGAGATCAGGGTAAGATAAAAAGATACTGTACAAGTCTGCAGCTTGGTTGAAATTATTTCATTTTAATACTTTCAACACTGCTATTTAACAAATAATTTGAGTATTATTTTGTAATGTGGTAATCGTGGGATGTTTTAACCAGTCCACACCCTGCAGCTACATAATATGGAGGACTTGTTCTAATTCTTAATGAAAAGCTTGAATAAGTTCCTACCTTTGCAAACAATCCCAGACAGAAATATTTTGTAAATTCTGACTCAGATCATAAACAAACGGACTACAGAAAATTGTGAACAAATCGCCAGTCCACACCCTGCAGCTACATAATATGGAGGACTTGTTCTAATTCTTAATGAAAAGCTTGAATAAGTTCCTACCTTTGCAAACAATCCCAGACAGAAACATTTTGTAAATTCTGACTCAGATCATAAGCAAACAGACTACAGAAAATTGTGAACAAATCGCAACTTCATGCACAACCGTTGTAATGTCTCAAGATGAACACACCGGAACAGGAGTAGTTTGGCTAATGACTTGTTCCTGTTGTCTGCAGATTATATTCGACTGATGTACGAAACATTTCGAAAAAAATAATTTTACGTCATATTATATTGGAAATTTTGTGAAAAAGTATTTATTAAACTAAAAAGGAGAGGACTCCCATTTATATATTTTGCAAAAACATCATATTTTATATTTAGAAGGCTTGCCAATTGTCACCGAGTTATCTCTTACTTATAACGTACGCTTGATGGATCTGGAATTACTGATGGGGGGATGGACCACGTTTTGTTTGACACGTGACAGCGACTAACCAATCAGCTGAATTATGGTTCACCTCCACACCAGTATCCAGATCCATACCGCGACCATATATCTTGTTAAGTTGCTCACAACAAATTAATGGAAACGTCTGAGAAAAGTACATGCACGACAGCTCCACACGATATTCCCAAAAACTGTAAGCGACGACGAATGATCTCACCCTGCAAGTTCATGGCCTTAAATAAAAATAATTTTTAACAAATACCTAAACTATCTATATTCTAATTTCTAGCATGTTAAATTGTACAAATGTAAAGAAAACAAGGATTAATTTCCCAATATCAATACAAACCTTAATCACCTCACTGGAGCACGTGTAAACTGAGAGATAATTCCTACATGTGAATATGCAGGAGGTACTAAGCAGCTCTTACACAAACCATACCTCTAACAATATGGGTTCCCAGCTTGAGAAGGGAGTATTTGGTTAATGAGATCGAGCCTGCGTTAACCAAGGGTTATAGGATTATAATGTCGGTGATTGTCATATAAAAGACAAGAGCTAGCTTCTATACTGCCTTTCGAGGGTGGTTCGGGGGGTTTTGGCGGTCTTCACACAAGGGTGAAGTTTGACGAATATCGGGTAATGATAATGGACTCGACGACGGATTAGCTGGGGGAACCAGGGTATTTCAGGGTTACGATGCCGTCAGTGGTTTGATTGTTGACAACTGCAGGTACTGTCTGTAGATGCAGACTACATAATATATACCACGTACCACATAGTGAGCTCGAAATATTGTAAAAAACCTCACTCCTTCATAATATACATCATTCTAAAAATAGTGGCTGTGATGAGCTAATATCGAAACGTAGCACCTATCAGTAACTCAAGCTGTACCGGGTTATCTCCAAGCACATGACAGCCAAGAGCCGGCTTCAAATTTCCAACTAATATTATTCAAACCTTCAAAAAACATGTCATTTTCAGTTTCATAGTATTTGTTATAGCGGTTTTCTCTCTCTCTCATTTGTTCCGTAACCTCTCATCTGATTGGTATTAAAGTACACACCCTTAGCTTATTTTAATATGGGTCGTTTTAAGATTAGAAGTCTAAGCAGGAGCCCTAGACCAAAGAATAAAAAGGAGCACTATGAGGAAGTTACCCCGGACCAGATTAAAGGGGAGACCACGGAGGACTCGTGGAAACTAATAGATTATCCAACCAGCATGTCTGAATCAGGTTTGCAACAATATTATAGGACTTTATTATAATATTAAAGTCAGCTGATAATAATGTGCTTTAAAAGTTTATTCATTTTATTGTTGCATCTGAGTGGTTGTCTCCCAATTTGAAGGCCATGAATGAACATTTTCTGGTTGACAATTTTTAGCCGTTTTTTGTTCACGTTGCCAGCATGTTTTCTAAAATTTAAGAGGTCAACAGTTGCAGATTTGCCGGCCGAATTTGTAATTAGACATTTGAACAACCGTCCATTATTCCGGCTTCACTCAAGTACGTACCTTACTAAAGAGCCGTCCCATTCACATTTAAATGAGTCATCTAGGTTGACGTTATAAAAGCAGCGAACAAAAGAAAGTAAATTTCGTTAACGGATGGCAAGGCTTTTAACTACAGTTAATTACTCGCATCTCGTCTGATATAAGTATAACTCGGAAAGAAATTAGCTTTTAATTGAACTCCATCACCATTTAAAACCAGCAAGGAAAAGAAATTTGTAGTAAAGCCTTCAAAATTAAATTAAAATACCACAAATCAATCAGGCGAGCTGTTAAAGATCGTTCTGTAAAATATACTAGTATGTTAACTTAAAACTTTTATATCCATTTTGTCGTTAGGGATCATTCACTTGCTGCAAAGAACGAGGAGAAGAAAAATAATGAGCGATGGTCATGGAAGATAATTCAGTCAGGCATTGCTTACGTAACTCTTAGGTATTGACTGCGTATTGATCAATATTTGCTTACAAATCGATTAAGCCAGCGAAGGCATAACTAAAATTTATAAACTGAGAGGATCCATGACATTAACATAACACTGATTAACATATTTATTAGCCCTTCTTGAATTTAAATGCTCAATGCTCCCTAAGTCTAACGTCGTCCATGTGTTCACTGACAACCCTTAAAATACAAATATATGGGAGTAAGACAAATTCTAGAAACTTTGCCAAATAATTCTAGAACTTTATAGAAAACGTAATTCGAACCGAAATAGATTTTATGTCGATCGACGCTAGCTGATTATGTCTCTCTGAAGACAATTTCTGAAATTATTATTACGCGGCCGTAGGCGTAATCATCTTGTCATCATAACATTGGAAGGTACGCGATTTGCTGCAGTATCGATCACGTACGCTGATTGAAATTGAAAATTTGGGTCACTATAACAGAGACACTCTCGTATATTATATATTTAATATACGTCATTCTGCTTGGTAACCTATTTGTAACTATAGTGACCATTACCTATGGCTATGTTTTAATTGAGGATGTCGCAATAACACTGTCGGTGCATGCGGGGTTGCCACGGCAATATCTACAACAAAAATACAAAATCTTTTAAAACTTCTCAGCTTAAACCTAAGATGAGAAGTACGGACTCGTTTAGGGGGAAAAGTACGTACTTGTACGCAACTTTGAAAAGTCCGACTCATACGACCTACGATTCAGATAGAATTTTTTTTTGAATTATTATCATCGGGCCGTTGTAAAATGTAATTGTTAATTGCCGATGTTAGAGAAAATATACCGTTTGCGAACAAATTAAATACAGAATTCTTAGGCCAGGCAAGCATTTAAAAGTAAAACAAAAATTCTACAAAATTACTAGACAATTTACTTATTTAAACAGCTTGTTTCTCTTAAAGTTAAACTTTAAGTTAATCGACGATTGGAATATAGAAACACAAGTTTTTGAAAACGCTCAATATTAGTCCGTAACATGCGATATAGAACTCTTCCATCGATTTCTAGAAGGAGAACTTTTCAGTAGAATTGAAAAGTACGTACGATACGAGTAAATTGAAAAGTCCGACTCATTCGTACTTCTCATCTTAGGCTTAAACTATAAAGTCTGCTGTGCATTTCCAATTTTCAGTCTTTGTACTGCACCAATCACCATGGCATCATACCAAAAGATGGCAAACAAATACACGTTTCCACTCCTGCTAAATTTAGTACCAAAGGTTTTCCGTACCTAACTTAAAATTCAACATATACTACTATTATACACATGGTAATATGATCAGGACTTTAAGCTAATAATAATATAAATAAATATAGCATAAATAATGGCAAAATTTTACAAAAATAACAGACCCTACCCTACACAATATACAAAATTATAAAAATAATATGCCACAACTCAATAAAACAGTTAAGCCTGGTCTCGATCGGTAGGCTCATATTATTTCGCTCGCCCAAATATGTATTATCACGAGACTTCAAGTAAACACCCAACTCCCAAGTCATGGTGACTTGGGAGTTGGGTGTTTACGCAGATTTGAAGCAGAACAAAACGATCTTGCATAAAACCTGACCACAACCCTAATCCTAACCACAACCTCGACGTGTACGGTTTTGCGAGCTATTTAATGGGAGCGTTCTTCGTACTACAATTTAGTAATCTGAACTGGACTTGGAGGGAATTCAACTCTATTAGTTTTTATTTACTGGGCCAGTGGGCCGGAGGCGCTCAGCCTGTCATTTCGCCGAATCTTTATGTTTATGAAAATAATAGCCTGGGGTCCCCAGGTAAGTTTTTATTAACTCATTAAAAACCGTACTAATCGTAAGTTCCAGCGACGTTTACAGTATTTATACTGCTTAGCTATGATATACGCTAGTTATAACCTAGGGTATATACCATTAGTGAACTCGATTGGATATGATCGTACCCAACGGTAAAAGGTTTCTATTTTATCTAGCATTAGTTGCAGTCGCCAGCACGGCTACGCGACGGTGTCAGGCTTGTCCGCCGCCGGTCAATTTGACCACGCCGCCGGTACCACCCCCGGCGTACGACGCAATACCATATTTTAATTCACCGCAATTGGATCTGCCTATTGATTATTCAACTGCTTTTGGAAGCTTATAGTTGAGTTGAATAGTTGGAATAAGATATCGGTGTTCAAAGGAATAGGTTGCTCCTTTGATACATTTCTTGATTGGTCTGAGACTGCACTCATATTTGGCAAGGAAAAGTTAGCTACTTTTAAACACTTTCGAATGCAGGCAACTGTGGAAACTCCAGAGCTACTATCAATAAGAGTAGAACAAAAAACTTACTAATCGTAAGTATTAAGCTCTCAACGCATACTCACTTACTCAGAATATGAAAGAACAAAAATAAGTTGAGTACTAAATTGTAAATGGTTTATTAACTGCGGTTAGTTTACTTACATGCTGTCCTCATCAGAGACAAATTTCACGTGTGGCAGTGCAATTGTTAATGTTTCATATTGCATATATACTTTATAGTTTATAGCTCTCTTTCTAAATTTATCACTGCAAGTCGATATGTTTGTTTGTTTGTTTATAGACTAAACTCAATTCTGAGTGTGAATACGGGTGGTACCTGCAAGTGTGTTCATTAAGCATTCATTAAAGTCGTCATACCACCACTTTTATAAATTACTATTATTATGCACCAACTAATTATATTCATTCCATTGCTCTCGATCTGATGAGGGACAGTCTACACTAGCTTCAAACGTTTGAGATGGAAGATTTAACAATTAGGTAGGTATGTCATCAAATTCAGCCCTCGGTGTAAATTCATCAAAAAACGGAGAGAACTAATTCTATGCCAAATCTTGGTGCTCGTTATATAGACTAGCAAATATTTGGCACATTATACGCCAAATTAGCCGCTCACTCACCGCCGAGGTCAAAAGGAAATCGCGGCACGTGCGGAATCGCGATTTTTCCCACTCTCCAGCTCCGTAACAAATCACGATTTTTGAAGTTTGCCGCGACAAATCGCGAATTTTTAAATTCTCCGCGACAAATTGTGCAGTTTTCTTTAAATCTGAGGACCAAATTTGAGCATTCTCCTTCAAATCCGAAGGCCAAATATCACGTTCTTTATAAAGTTATAAGTATCTGAACCCAATCATAACCACAGCCTTCCGAATGTAGGTACGGACTTCAGAAGACCGAAAAATATTTTTAGCTCATAATGATCAGGGTAGCATGAAACATGAACAAACTTGTAATCTCAACTCAACTTTGATGAAAAGTTCTGGATATCACTTTACCTATTTAGTATTTAGTTTAAACATGTTATTAGTCACAACAGAACCATAGTTTCAACCGATGACAGAGCACCCAAAACCCAAACAGTATAGCGCGGTGACTGTTTAAAAACATTGAATCCTGTATATCCTTTGCCAGTTGCTACTATTTCGATTGTACCTTACCACCAATAAAGTGTACACCTGCAGATACAGAGGATAAGGATGACGTGTTTGTGGAAGTACCCTACATAACCCTAACAAAACACAAAGCAGAGATCAGACCTACCAACACCATGCCCCAGGAGCACACTCGCTACTCTATCTGTACTACTGAGCTCAGAGTGGACAGACCGGACTCGGGGACTAGCTGGGGTGCTATCTTTGTAGGTGAGAAGAGTACGGGCAATCGCTTATTATTTTCTGTGATTATTTTAGAATTTCGATAATGTTCGAAACGTAAATACATTGAATTCACGGTTCAATCAATTTCAAGGAAAATTGTTTTGATAATTCGATAATTCGATACTATTTTGTTTATAGTAGTGTTATTAACACTACTATAAACAAAATAGTATCATTTTGATATTTAAATGGCCATTTAAGCATTTACAAAAATGTGGTTCCATTTTACTCCTATAAATTCAGAAATCATCTCAGCTTCACACAATTCTTCGGACTCGTACAACCCACAAATTACATTGGTTTCGTACAAAAATAGCATGAGTTACAGAGAAATACAAATGAACATTGTACATCTATATCACAATTTGAATTCACATTAGCAATTAATTTGCTTCAGTCAACTATTTAAATTTTAATTACAGCACAAAAAGAATACTACCTTGAAATTACAAACAGAATGTTGATTGTACTCCGGGTATTCGACAGCGATCGGCACTCCCCCACTTTCCACGTACGAACCGCCACAATTTTACGATCGTATGTGACTAAGTGACTTTCTAAGAAATTTGGTTCCATTTTGCCCCTTAAATTCAGAAATTATCTGAGCCGCAAACAATTCCTCGAACCCGTATAACCCACAAATTTTAGTGATTACGATATCATGGCTCGTTCAAAAATAGCATGAGCAAAGTTACACTTACAGAAAAATACAAATGAACATCCAGATCACATAAACAATTAATTTGCTTCAATGAAATATTTAATCACACAAACAATATGACCCTGAAATCACAAACAAAATGTTGATTGTCGGCCCGGTATCCGCCAGTCGGCACTCCCCCACTACCCTCACGTACGAACCGCCACAATTTTACGATCGTTGTGCATGCATGACTGATGAACAGATGGCAACACAGCGTGACGTGAACAAGGACAAGCTGGACGTTATTAAATCACAATTAGAGATGAAGTTCTATTATAAGTCAGACCTGCATATAATCGCCACATGAAGCTGTTCTAAAAGTAAACGCATCATCAAATGAAGATGTTCTAAAGGCATCATAAAATGAACATATTCTAAACGCATGTCATAAAACTCAAAGTATGCCGAAACTCATGATTGCATTGTCTAATCTGCAACCAGCGAGCAGATTAAAGCGGCAATATCATTTCTAGACATATTAGACTGCAATATTAGTGTTTAGGTTACATCATTAAAACATGCCTGTAAAACGCATTTCTGACGCCTGCTCCACGCCACAGTATACGATGTGCTCAAGAACAGGGACTATATCGGACACCAGGTGACGGCCGGGATTCAGTAAGCTAGAATTAAGACAACAGTAAGTTACATTACATAGCTCTGATGCTCATACTAAAGACGGTTCCTCTGATGCGATGAGACAAGAACTCTCATTATCAAGCCTAAATAATAAATATCACTCAACTCCCGAACCTAATCGGAATAATACGGCCACGGCTACATATCAGTGTGTGCTCACAAGGGATTATTAGCATGACAAACAGTAGTGTCGTTCAGAAAGAATGGTTTTTCATATTTTGAACGTGATGGGTTTAGTATTTTGTCTTGGGGGCTGGGGTAAAGGCCTTAATCGTTAAATCGTCATTGCATAATGCATATCTGATGAACATAATGCATATCTGATGAGTAGAGGTAGTATTAAGACTTATAATGCTCACAACCGCAACGGTACTGCCACTGGAACAGGGATCACGCATAAAAGCAGGCTGGTTAGTTACTATATTGTATTGTAGATACTATAAGTGCACATTATAGTGAGGTAATCAGCATTATTACATATCATTATAATACCTAGTACCTACCATTACCATTACCACTTTTACTGGCCACAAACCTCGACAGATCACGGAGAGCAATGATATGAGAGCAGAGAGAGAGTATCTTGTGAATAGTGAGGACGATCAAATAATCGCACGGCCGGTAGTGTGCTGTAGGCCTGGGTGCAGATATTATAGTGGCTGGAGGTTTTAGTGTTAGTTGGATTCCTTGTTTAAATTCTTAAAACGAGCCAATTAATATGGGGATTTATGGCTCTTTTCCTTGGCTACCAAAGGGGCATTTTTAAGTTAAAGGCACAGCTGCAACCTTTAAGTTTTAACATTGAATTAGGGGGTTTGTCAGGTAAAGTTGTAAGTAGGTACGGTAAAGACATGGATATTATGTTTTCATCTGTATTATTCTCATAGCACAGAGAGGATTAGTAAAGGACACAGTGACTCGGGTTTAATTGAGGCATAAAACATGCGAGGGAGACATATTGAGGACGAGTAGTGCATGTTATCAGTAAGCTTTTATATTAGCTTCTGAGACAGGAACCTGTCGTATCGGAGTATTGGCAAATATCAAATATGTAGGTTTCTTAAACCCACTCAAAGACAAAGGAGATAAAACTAAAAGATCACAAAGCCTCTTATCTCGACTAATGAACTAATATGGCTAGCCAGGCCGGAAGTGCTATCACAGCTTGCCGCAAGATGTTTAAACGAATATTCCTCATTTTGTTTGATTAGACTTGAAATTACTTTTAGACAGTGTCATTCAAGACCATAGCAAAACAACATTATTCGAAATGTTGCACTAAGTTGAGTGTTTTGGTTTAGCCTGACGTCGAGCACAAATAGACAATTTCAGAAACAGAATGTTACACAAGATCTTAGCTCTTCAGGCCTCATCACCAGAGCCTGAGTTGCATGCTTTAATTATTATACAGGGTCTCTATTATAGGAGATCTCGATATCAAACCTTGGCAACTCCTTGGCAGTCAGTAATTATTATTATTATAATCACTATCAATTAAAATTATCATTATGATCTTCCAAGTTTGTCTAACGTTTTGAAGAAGTCATAACAATCAATCTCGAATTAAAGTGGAAGGATGAATTCGTAACACCTCCATGAATTTTTAAATAAAATAAACTGGTGAACGACAGAAGTAACTACAGAGCTAGCTACAGAGCTAACATGATAAGAACAACAACAGAGTTAACTACAGATTATTATACAGGGTCTCTACTCTCTATTATTAGCTTATAAGAGATCTCAACATCAAACCTTGGCAGTCTGTAATTATTAGCATTATAATTACTATCAATTAAAATTATCATTATAATCTTCCAAGTTTGTCTTACGTTTTGAAGAAGTCATAACAATCAATCTCGAATTAAAGTGGAAGGATGAATTCGTAACATCTCCATGGATTTGCAAATGAAATAAACTAAAACTGGGGAACGACCGAGGTAACTACAGAGGTAACTACAAAGGTAACAACAGAGGTAACTACAGAGGTAACAACAGAGGTAACTACAGAGGTAACTACAGAGGTAACAACAGAGGTAACTACAGAGGTAACTACAAAGGTAACTACAGAGGTAACTACAGAGGTAACTACAGCGGTAACTACAGAGGTAACTACAGAGGTAACTACAGAGGTAACAACAGAGGTAACTACAGAGGTAACTACAGAGGTAACAACAGAGGTAACTACAGAGGTAACTACAGAGCTAACAACAGAGCTAACAACAGAGCTAACAACAGAGCTAACATCAGAGGTAACTACAGCGGTAACTACAGAGGTAACTACAGAGGTAACAACAGAGCTAACAACAGAGCTAACAACAGAGGTAACATCAGAGGTAACAACAGAGGTAACAACAGAGGTAACTACAGAGGTAACTACAGAGCTAACAACAGAGCTAACAACAGAGCTAACAACAGAGGTAACATCAGAGGTAACAACAGAGGTAACTACAGAGGTAACTACAGAGGTAACTACAGAGGTAACAACAGAGCTAACAACAGAGGTAACATAAGAGGTAACTACAGAGGTAACAACAGAGGTAACAACAGAGGTAACAACAGAGGTAACATCAGAGGTTACATCAGAGGTAACATCAGAGGTAACAACAGAGGTAACAACAGAGGTAACAACAGAGGTAACAACAGAGGTAACAACAGAGGTAACAACAGAGGTAACAACAAAGGTAACGACAGAGGTAACTACAGAGGTAACTACAGAGGTAACATAAGAACAGGCTCTGTACAGTGCAGACTGCAGACTGCACAACCCTGCACCCTCACAACCAGATCAGTACATAACGGTTAAACACTATCACCGCCCGGACATTAGAACACATTACAATCTACCACTACTGTTACAATCTACTGTTACAATCTACCAGAAGTCAATCAGAACACCACCTCCACTTCAATCAATCTCTCAGATTAAAGAGAGAGATGGTGCGACACTTTGCAGTGCAAGTACACGAGATCGCCCGTTCAACATGTGGCTGGGGTATGTTACAGGCCGGTGTTTACCCGGCTCAGTACATATGATCAGGTGATTACACTTAGAAGTAGAGATGATTGGGATCCCCAACTCTAGGGCAGGGTTATGAGGTTACAGCGGGGATTGCCAGACAGGGTTTAATTGATTGAGTTAAAAAGTTGTGACGAATCACGAACAACTACAGTTTAATGGGCCTGAAAGCTGGTAATCGTCAAATTCCTATCACATGGCATCATGGACACAAATACTGATCCGGTTGCTGGTCAATTTCCTCTACTAAGTACCCCTTAAGAATATATGTTATAATATGAGAAGGTCACTAACCAATAGAGGTAACTGATAACTCCACCCAATTAGAGCCGGCAAACACAAATTTAACAGAAGCAAGAACTCGACTCCTACCTGACACAGTAGAAAGAATTGGGATTCTGTGAATGCTACCTTATGGATCAGATGCCAGATTTAAAGAACGAAGAAATGAGCTCCAGCGATGATCCGGGCCGTTTTCGTTTGGGAGTTGACAAGCTAGACTGATTGTTTTTTCCATAATTTTCCCAGACTACCTTGCCAGGAAAAAGTCCGTCAGTCAAAAACAGACCTTGTCCCAATTAATCTAAGAAGTATAGTGGTTATTTATGGAAATTTTCTGGGAACTAATTTGTCAAAAGCATTCCTGTGCAGGAATGTGTTGTCCATAGTCCAAAAATTAATAAACCACTCCAAAGAGTTGTAAAAGTAAATTTAATGGGCACAACTAGCTAGATTGTGTTTCTTTTTTCAGGCGCCTTATATTAGAAGTTAGAACACACTTTTCGAATGTTTAACTCTAGTTGGGGAGGCACTAAATTCAGCAGCGCTGACTCAAAGTCGCTCTACCGCACCAGCTATGAAGTGGCACTGATAGTGGTGAAAAAAGATGTGTGTGGGAAATGGGAACATTGTAATATTATATTGACTTAAGGAGGAACACAACGCATATACTGTACAGTTCATGGAGGGATTAAAGGATGCTTTGGCGATATTGAGAAAAACCGCTGATAAAACTTAAAAGACTCTTGCCTGGTTGGAATCAGCGAGAAGAACTTCACATGGACCGTATAATTCTCTTTGAGCAACTTTGTCCATGTTGCTATAATATATAGGAACGATTAGTATTTGGCTTTCCTTATAAAGCTTTTTCACTAAAATGTACGCAGGATATTTGTGATGCGTTATTTACTGATTTTATGAAGAAAATATGATAGCTGAAAATTATCTGGTCGCCAGACTGCTCCCAGATACTAAAGACAACATAATATCTAAGAATTATTTGATCTAAATACTAATAGCTATATGTATAACACTTAACAATACAATGAAAGATTCCGCCAATTATAACAACAGGTTTCACGACTGGCCCTGTCGGCGTTGTTGCACTTTGTAAACAACAAAAACACATTCCTACACAATGTTTGCAAATTAGTTCCCAGATGATTCTATATTCAGGATTGGGATTATGTCACTGCTACTGTATGTAGATGCTAAAAGTAAAGAACGAAGAAATGAGCTCTAGCGACGATCCGGGCCGTTGTCGGTTGGGAGTTGACAAGCTAGACTGATTGGTTTTTTCATCATTTTCCCAGACTACCTTGCCAGGAAAAGTTTTGACTGAAGTTCATGTCCCTCAGAAAAAAACAGACCTTGTCCCTATTAATCTAAGAGGTATAAAGGACAAAAGTCCGGAAATGAGCCCATCTTTTAATTATGTTAATTTAAGAACTTGTCACTTTCTGAAGTGCTCCCCATCTAGCAAAGACTACGTAACCTGGTCTAATATCAACCTCTGAATAACATTCCTAGCCTTCAAACTTCAAGATGCTAAGATGATAATAAAATTATATAAGTAACTTGCATCTATGCAAGATCTCTTCAGTGAGAGGTGTTTGAGAAATTCGGGCTTTCCAAAACTATTAGAAAATCTGGCCATAAAAACTCAAACTGATAAGCCCATCAAATTTGTGTGCTCACAACAAAAACTTATCACTTATAGGTACTTTTAAAACTGAATTGGCCGCCTTCAAAGCGAATCGTAAGTTGCCAAATCGCGAATTGCGATTCGAATGCGTATTATTGCACAACTTTTATAGGAGTGAGAAGCTCTCAATCATACCCCGCGTGATTTCGTGACGAGGAAAACGGGATTTGATATAGTTAAGCAATTCCTTAATCCTTATCTCACAGCAGCACAATCAAATCAAGTACACTGTTCCCCATCACGAAATATCGCAGACAACTCGGGAATTTGCTTGACCGATATCCCCCTCTGACAAAAGCGCATTTGATTACCATGGTAGAAACTTTATGAATTTCTTCGGGAGGCACGTCAAGCCGTTAAAGATCTTATTATGCAGCTATAAGACACATATGATATTTGCATTATTTATATAATATGTGCATTATTTGGGGGATAAACGTTGAGAATTTCGGTTATTAGAAGAAAGTAAACTTTGATGTTCAAGCTGGTAAACGTTAAATCTTTAAACGGTCACAAGCCAATATATATTCCCAATTATCAATCCAACGATGATGATGATATTATTTGATAATATTTTGAATGGTATGTGGATTATGGGGTTTGCACTTCGTGTTGAACGGAATTCAGAGCCCTTTTGAATGCCATCAACCTCCCTAATTAACCCCATTTATGTGGGCCCTTTATTTTTGGCTTTTGCAAGTAGGTATATAAACTTTCGAGATTTAAATGTTGTCTTAAGTAAAGATCTCATTAGTCAGGTCAGTAAAAATATTTTTATTCGGAGAGTAAATGGCTAGATTCAGCTCTTAATAATAATTATAACTCGTGCAAGTCCGAAAATGGGCCGTGTGTTGCTTCTAGGAAGTACATATGACAATGCATATCAGCACACTGTTGGCTTTCTTAGAGACCTGATGAGAACCAAGCGGAAATCATGATTGCCTGGTAAGCAAGTTCACACTCATTCCGAATGGCGGTAGACTATTACAGCTACACTGCAGCTTACACTGTAGTGGGAATCGCGTCACTGATATCCTCCGAGCTTAATTACCAGGATAAATCCTGTACCAATCACAGCTTGGTGACCTGGCCTGCCTGCCTCAGCTCTTAAAAGCTAACAAATATCGATTATTTGGAGCATAAAGTAGATCTAGATTTGGATGTGATTCAGCACATTTAGAATATTTAATTAGTAATATCGTTCAGAGAATTTCGCAAGAGTTGGAAACTCTACAGTTCGAAGTTTGCTGGTGTCAGATCTGACGGACGAGGGGATCATGGAGAATGCTGGGGTTAAGGTAGGATAATTCAAGAGGGTTAATGATACGAAATTGCAACAAATTTAGTTTACAAAAATTAATAGTGCATGTCTTTAGATTTAAAACTTTAAAAGGTAATAAACTATGGACATTTATTTAGACCATTCCTTAATTTGACACTTAAACCATTCAGTTTGTTTTCACATATTATAACGTCATATTGTATATATTTGACGTCGTAATATATTTGACGTCATATTGTATTTGACGTCATATTATATTTGACGTCATAATTCATATTAGAAAACAAACTCTCGAGCAGGGTGGCCGACTTTAAATCAAGACAAAATTTGAATGAAATTAGTTGCATCACCATCAGATTGAGATAGTGACAGATATTTTAGTATTTTGAATAAGCTCCACAATATTAGGTTTTAGGAAATAAAATATGAATAAAAGCGAAAAGATTGTTTAGCTACTTTTTTGTACCCTAAATTTGCTGCAATAAAGTTGGTTTTTAAAGCTCATGATACAAATGAGCTCAGATATGATATCACTGAAAATCACTGAGAATCCAAATTTTTGACACGTACTAAAACAAAAAGGTAGAGCGTGACACAGTGTCCCGTCTAAAACTATAAGGTGTTATGAAGGTGTTATATAAAGATTAAAGGTGTTATAGCTCTTAAGTTGTCTCACGGAACGAGGCGAGACTGAAGCTGATATAGTATAAAAGGTGTTGACTGTTGAGGTGAATAATATTAATAAGGTTGCTAGGAAAAGTGGTGTAAATGAGCTTCAAATGATGTGCGTTTTACCGGTACAATTCTAGACGATAATATAATATCGTCATAATAATGACGTCACATAACCAAAGAGGAGAGTGGGAGATGGGACACAATCGCGGTAGAACAAAAATACCTCAACTCTTTCAGTTCGCACTGATCGTATTGTAACAAAAAACAAGTCACTCAAACTTGAGATCGGACTTGTAACTTTCAGGATGGCCAATGTTGCATTGTAAATAGTTTTTATTTACAAAATGAAACGTTATCATCTGATGAGTTAGGGAAGATCGGAGTCATTTGCCGGATAATATGCAACAAAGATAATATGCGAACTTAAATCGCATGTACATCCCAGCAGATGATCCGCATAAAATAAAATGCCTCAAAATCATCTTTTAGGCAGGTGCCTAACTTATTGGATGACAATTAAAACTAAATAAACCTTTTCCGGGTAGAGTTAAACAAAAGATCAATACTTATTGCGTCTTTTGATCGGATTATCATGCGGCGTTCTTTCAATGTGCTGAAGTAACGAGGAATACTGTTTTACTTTTCTGACTATTGTAATTTGTATTTTAATTACTAATATACGCCTAAACCTCTCAACAGAGCGTCGATTAAAGACATTTGCCGTGATTATCTAGCGTCTTTTACTTTGTCTAGCGTCTTAAATAATACGAAATAACCGGCTGTCTCGTTACACAACAAAATCGATAGAAAATACTATATTCATACTCCAGCATTCCAGAAAATTGTAACCACTATCGATCCTATACCAATCTTATCATTATATTATAAAATATTTACATAAAATGTCCACGGAACCAAGGTTAATGACCGGTAATTTCGTATTATTTAAGTATTACAACATAGGTGAGATAATCAAATACACGCCAAATATCTTTCTAATCAACGCTCTAACAAAAGACATAATTATGGACGAATATACTGGCAGTATAATTTATCATGTTTATGTCTTTTATCAGAGGCTTAAAGAAAATCGTACATATACCCAACCTGTGATTGTCTTCTAATCATTCATTTCAAAAGACATTAATCGATATTGCATCTCTGTAGTTACGATATGGTACGTGAATTCACTGTACGTGGCTCTGAGAACACTTAAATTAATAAAACTTGGTTAATTAAACATTATCTTATTATAAGAAATCTTAAATTAGAGGCCAGGTAGCGTAGTTGGTTGATCATCGGATTTGTAATCGTAAGATTGCGAGTTCGAATCCCACTGCCTGCCTAGTCGTGGGGTGAGCGTCGTTGACGCTCTGCTAAGGATCCCGAGTGGTCTATGTAGCCCCACGGTTCACTCAGCCGAATGCTCGAGAAATCGGGTGTGAGGGTTAAATGAGGAGCTGTGCTTGATCAACACAGCGAAGCCTCGGGCGAAGAAAGTGTGGCATAGTGCCTTAACCGTTGCTGGCCTTAGGAACGATCCTTCGGCTTCTTGTAAAGCTCTTCCTTGAAAGTGCTGGTTTACATTGTAATGCAGGTAATGCCGAAGTAAAATAACAAAGGTAGTCGACTCATTCGATGGCCTTGTTGCGTCGCAACGAATCCTCATAAGATAAGATAAGATAAGATAAGGTTTCGAGTACCCAGGTCTCAAACCTTGAAAAGGAACATTATTATCAAGGGCTCGCAGGGCAAGGAAGATTTATTGTTATCATAAATATTTGCAGTGTGGTGACGTGATAATAAAGATAAACGGAGAAGACATGGCCAGGTGGACCCACGAAGAGATGCTGGAGGAACTATACCACGCCCAAAACACCCTGACTCTCACCCTTATCACCTACCAACACCAGCAGACTAAATACCTCCTCTTTCTGGACCTGTCACCCGGTGATATCACTAATATCTGGGCACTTAATAACTTGGTGTCACTCCACATTTGTGAGACTAAAATGAAGAACGGGGTCGTGGATCTGAGAGGGATAACGTGTAAAGGAGTTTTACAAGAACTAGCGGTTACTAAGAGCGAGCTGGATACCATCAATGGTATCATGGGGTTGGAGCAGTTCACTAAACTGAAGCGGCTCAATTTAACTCACAACAGACTGTGTTCTCTAGACGAGGACGTGATGATGAAACTGAGCTCGTTAGAGGAACTCAGACTTGGGAACAACAATCTGGACAAGTTCCCCCTGGTCCTGACGGATATGATCACACTCAGAGACCTCTCCTTGGTGTACAATCTTATCAGTAGCATCCCGGAACAGGTCCTCAAGATGAGAAGTCTGGAGAATCTTCATCTGGATAACAATTATCTTTCTGAGATGCCAGATTTTGTGACCCAACAGCTGCCGTCTTTGAGAAGTCTGACCTTCTCCAGTAATCACCTCTCCTGGGACGAGGATTATGTTCGGGAATGTTTTCACCTCAATCTCATCGACTTCTCTGGAAATGGGACTAGAGCGAAGACTGGGTTGGACAATTTTGGGGTAATCAGTAGCAGGGCTACTCTCAGAAGAAAGGGGAGGAATTTATTGAAGGAACCGTCTTTATTGAAGATGGCATTGGCTCGCTCTGCGTGATCAGAATCCTGATCAGTATCAGGTGTCGAACTGAATTTTTTATAACAGCTTACGCGTAACTAAAAACCGGATGAAACGGACTCAAAATAGAAACAAATAGAACTCGACATTGAACGCAATTACTTTAAACAGTTAAACTGTTAAAGCTAAATAAATATTGTAACAGTAAACAATTTATTGGGTCACGGCCAAATGATAAAACAACGACCATTTGATCCAAGAAAGTTGCAGACCAACTACTTATAAAATTATTACTTATATAATTGACTAATGACTACTTATACTTTATTCGAATCACACATCCTCAAAGCAATGGGGGCTTTTGACCACTACCGGGAGGTTTCAGCTCTTAAATATCCTGTTTAACTGTTATGTTATGTTAAGTGTCCATTTGTTAAGACGAATGACTGTTGATAGTTGTTGCTATAAACTTATAAATAAAATATAATTGTTGGACTTGTGTCTGTATGGTTAGGATGTGGCGATGAAACTGCATAATTTTTCGTTATACGATTGAATTTACAGACGAATTTAAAATTGGCTGGGCCATTATGTGGTTAAACTTAATCATTATATGTCAGAGACAAATATTTACAGAAAGCAAACATTCATGAAGGAGTGGATTGAAGTTATATACTTTGCCTACTCGGAAATTCGTACCAACAAAACCCAACCTGAAGAAGAGAAAATGACGGAAGGATTTAACCCGGCTTTGTATGGCATGAAGCAGACATTCTGACAACTTTCAAACACGGACGAATGGTATTTAGGCGTGATATAGAACTTCAAAGAAATTAAAATAGCGATCAAATGGCTGCAACGCCGCCCAACAAGCCTCAACAGTGATGAAAACTATTGTCCCCCAGATAGTCTCATGTAATCGTCCTAAACACGGAGCCTACGGGAAAGTAGCGAGCTAGCTTCATCTGTCTCACTCCAGCATCCAGCCATGATTTGTGGAGGAATCACGTGACTCGCGGAATAAAAAACGTGACTTTTGCGGGATCACGTGATATTTCCACAGATCACGTGTTGCAAGATAGCTTACCTGCGACATGAAGTTGTAATTCATGCTCCGGCGCAGGTGTCACCCGGATGAATTAGAAACCTTACCAATATTTTGGTTTGACTGAGATATCATGGGGAATGCACGGTTGAGCTTCTAAGAATGCGTCAATCTTGAATCTCAGATCATAGTGACGACTGATGAATCCTTTTCAGATTAAGATCCTGTCCAGATAGACCAGAAACCTGACAGTGGTACAAGTTTGGAATTTAGTGAACTCATTTCCCAGGTCTGACCTCAGTGTCAGTCTAGGCGGGATTCAAGCAGCCAAGCGATCAGAATTACTGCTTTTCCCAAACATGTTATAAACAGCTGTGTTTAAAGAACTATTTACACCAATCAAGGGTGACGGCCACAATGACTGTGTCAGCAAATATCCACTATTCAAAGTGTAAGGATATGAGATATGTCTCGCCAGAGTAAGTCTTGTAACTTCAGTCTAACAGGCTTGACTACCCAGCCTGAATACTGAACACTGAGCTGTTGTCTCGGAAACCAAATCAATCCAAAATACTTATCTCTGATTGGTCCATTGTACGCACGTGGGCAACACAAAAGCCTTTGATTGGCTGTCTAAAGAAGTCACACGACAACACCAGGTAACCAGATCAATACCCTGCTCGGTAACAGGAGGAGTCAACCGACAGAGGAATTGGAATAATAATAACTCATTTGTAGGAGGACGTTTTAAACCCATAGCAAACAATGCTGGGAAGAAGCTGAAATATCACCTGTATATTTAACTATACCTCCCTTTAAATCAGCATCTTATTATCCTTGAACAATTCATTTCTGTTATAAAATTATAAAGTAAAATAAAATTCATCGCCTAAGCTGCATAAGAAAGTAAAACGAACTCCGTGCGTTACTGCTTTATTGTAAAGGTGGTGGCTTAAATTATATTCAATCGAATAAGCATACCAGTCCTAAAGTTCACGAAGAACTAAATAATCTTAATCAATGTCATTTCTGAAGAAGGCATACCTTAGCTCAAAAAGGTTTGATTGTAGCACTGATACTTAAATGTTTCTTCTGTGTTACTATTGATATAATTGAGATCAGTAATTATGGCTATGTCATTCGTGCTTGCTGTGATGCAGGTTACATTTCGATTACAAATTAAACGCCAACTGAATTTCAAATTACTTCTTTGAGTCAAGCAGACGGGACAATTTGTAAAGTTCATAAATTGTCTAGACAAAGTCTGAGCAGACTTGCAGCACAGACACGGTCGGAAGGTTTCGCTTGCTCCAACAAAAATAGCAAAAATATAATTATATCCAGTATAATGCACATACCTGCTCACGTCCCAGATATTTTCTTTTTGGATGCGGAATTATCTATTGCCAAAATTCGGAACTTACGATAAAAGCAGCTAGGTTGGTTCACCACAAACTATAGAACTACAGACTAACAAAACATTTCACATAATATTGCAGAAACAATTCACAATCGTATGTGACGACAAGGTAGTACAATAGTAACAGAATAAGGTACACAATAAGGTACATTTTAGGGTACATATTAGGGTACATATCAAGGTACATATTAAGGTACATATTAAGGTACATAATAAGGTACATAATAAGGTACATTTAGGGTACATAATAAGGTACATATTAAGGTACATATTAAGGTACATTTTAGGGTACATATTACTATATTAGGGTACATAGTAGTACCTCAGGTGCATTTGCATAGATCATGGTAATGAATCATGTGTCAGATCTTATAATTATTACAAAATTTAGCAATATTATAAAGATTAAAGATATTCATTGTTCAACATCTGCCAAGGAACCGTTCATATATTATGCAACCTAGGTAGGAGGGGTTCAGAAATTCTATTACGCTATAAAGTATATAGCGTATAGTATATAGTGTACTTTATGCACAATACTACAAAAGCTGTACTGTATGTAAAATGGCTAGTGGAAGGGGATTTAAATTATCCAAAATCTGGCTTCTGCGTAATAATAATATGTGTATAAATATAATCGCTAACTGAGAAGAAACAATTACGAGTCATTTATTATTCTTTGCAATCTAGAACTGAGAATAGATAACATTCTACTGGAGAGCTCTTTGTCGGGGTTTATTTTGTTGGTAACTTAAACTATTATCATGGTAACCAGAGCTAAACGTGCACCACCGCGAAATTTTGACCCAGATCACCGCGGTCTATGAGTATGAGGCATTGGCCGTCAGATAAACAAATACAGCTGTTAACGATAAATCAGTTCTTCAATGCAGAATGCTATTAAGAAATCGATTCATATAAATCAGTTACACAGCCAAATTACCATCATATTATACACAGTATACTTCACAGACCGCGGTTTGGATATCTCATACTAGTCATGGACCGCGGTAAAACCACCGCCGCCGACCAATTTTGGCGTCCAGACCGCCACCGCCTAAAAGTAACACGGTGCAACTGCACATCTCTGATGGTAACTGTATCATGATGTGAAACCATTTCAATTATTTCTGAGCGAGCTCTTTTATGTTTTAGAACGGTCCACTATGAGTATGATATGGCAAAGTTATAATAGTCATGGGCGGCTCTCACGAAACGAAATGGTTAAATTTAGTGCTGATCCGTTAAGATATTATTATTGGGCATTGGTACGTATGCACAAATATTAAAATTTAAAATAAAAAGCTAAAGCAGATATAAATGTGTAAACACCATGAGAAAAGAGACAAGAGATTGATTGTGATCATTAGCGGCTAGGACTGAGGTCTGCGCCACAATATAATGGCGGTGACTACTACCACCAGTACCTATTCCTAATGCTATATTACTAATGGCATTCAATGTCGGAAATATTGCCAACTATTTTTCACTTGTTCTCAGAAACTAATGCTGTGGGTAGTAAAACTAAAAGTTAAAACATTGTATATTCCGTCTGAAAATATGCAATACGGCCACGGCATCTAAAAAATGTTTCGAACAATTATACCAATAAATTGTAGTTGTACCAATACCAATCTAAATCTAATTCTTTTTACATTCCTAACCATATTTTCTTCAAACCACGTATTTAAAATTTACTTTTTTTTCCGTATTTCGGTATGTTACAAATAAAGGACATTTGTTTCTATAAAATTGCACGGCCAACCCCAGCTATTCTCATGGCCAATTAGTGACGCCAAATATACCGTTGTTTTCACCATATCGGGGCGTAAAATGTGCCTAGAAGACCACCTACTGCACAAAGGCATCTATAATTATAAATACAATAAAATCTGAAAACATACCTGAGCCATATTATGTTCTTTGATCTTACTCCCAGAATTAGAAGCTTTGTCAAAAGTTTACGAGATTATAAATGATGTTCAGATAAGGCATTTACCAAGTATGTACAACACAAAAGTGCAGTGACCGGGGTGTCAGTATTTAGCAGCTGGTTTATCTGGCAGAACTATACAGAGATATGAACCTTCTTCCAACAGCTGAGAGACCAGAGAGTCGCTAATACGTTTTTAATTTGCCATATTTCGTTTGTGACGTCATAGGCCCGCCAGAATTAATCAGAGTAGTGTCCAATACAACAACACGGGGTCTAACTTAGCACCCACGTATCTCGAGTGGCTTTGTAATTGGGTGACATTACAGTTTGATGTTGTGATAACCAAAAATATTCGGTTTTTCAACAGAAATATCTAAGTTTAATAAATAATTCTAGTTTGACATTCTTAAATTCGGTTATAATCTTCACTTCTATTCTATTTCTGATGACAAAGACTTGTTGTAACATTCTGATCCGTATTTCTGGTGTGACGTCACAAAATTAATCAGAATAGTGTCTAATACAAATTAATACGGGGGTCTCAAGTAGTAAGTCAAGGTTGCAGACGTAGTATCAGGCTGAAATGCTCATCCTTATTCTGAACTGGGAACTGTTGGGTAACAGCCAACAGAATGAATTTTTGAACCACAGCTAGTGGCGAGATTCATTATTTTATTTGTCTTATTTTCTACTTTACTTAGCACATGTCTAGGTAAGCGGTGGGATTCTAGTGAAATGATGGCAAGATCAAAAATTATTTATAGTGCTGTTGAAACCATAGAAAGTACGAAAAAGTTGATCTCTAACAAAAGTTGGACCTGAGGTGATGAGCGTTTTTATTATCTGGTGACAATAAAAATAACCAGAACCACCCAAAAGTGCTAAAAACCGCTTTTCTTTACCTTAAAAGACATTTTTACGTTCGAATTAATTTTATGGGTGGGGTTTGAACAAAACTAAAATATTCAAACCCCTCTATCAATCAATGTAAACCTATCATATCACTGACAATCAATCTGATAAACACCCATTTTATTGAGGAGAATATTTAATACAGAAAACGGTATCGAAGGGCTCGGCTCAAAACATAAAATATATTCACATAACACACATTATAAGCATATATGTATCACTCAGCATTACGGCGACAAAAAGCACTTAATGTTACTCTGAAGAAGGGATGGTTCAATTGAAAATGAGAGCTGCAGATACAAAAACATGCGGTAAGCAACCACATACATACAACTCGTTCAAATCAAATCTATCGACCATTCATGATGGATTTATTGAATATAAGATATTGAGTCACTCATCAGCCTCAGAGTCAGATTCACAAGACAGGATTTGTTCTAGGGAGGCGAGTAAGCAATGCCTTGATTGCTTTTTGAGGTGGATCTATTTTATTAGTCATGTCACAATACGTGGGTTGTGATGTGATGTCAGGACTATCGATTATAATATTAAAAGCCATGTGGACGCAATATTAGAATAAACAATACAAAAAGAAACTTACAGTCCGATTATAAACTGCGTTCATGCCCTATCAGTATCTCAAATTTCAACAATTTTTTTTCGCTCTGCGAGAGTGCGAGCAGCAGTCACTGGTTGATATGTTGTATGATTATGAGCAGAGCTAGAAGTAGAAACGAGTTGGAATAAAATCAAGAATTCACTGTGTTTTGCGTAGCACAATTAATGTAGAAATTGTTTTAGAAGTAAAGCCCAAAATCCAGCTATCATTCACACAAGTTCGTGTCGTCGATATAACAGAGGATAATGTCCATAATTTGTTAATAAGTTAATAGTATACGTTTGTTAACTGTCCTCTATTTTGGGTTCTTTTATAACAGCTTTGATGTTGGGACACTTAAGACACTATTTTATAAAATTTATAAGGTTTAACTATAGAAGAGGTGACAGTTACATCAATAGGTTTTTATCACAATGCTGGCAAGCATGACCGTGCCTCTTATATTCACAATACTATTTACCCCCTTTACTATTTACCCCCTTTACTATTTACCCCCTTTACTTTTATAACCCTTTATTATTTTTCGGGCATTAAGACTCATCGAAAGTAGTTCAGCAGGTATATTTAAGTTCAAATCATTCTAATTCAATGTTAAAGATGACAGGAACAAGAAATAGTTATGTGGAGGTTTTTAAGAAATTTGCGCAAAATACGCGCCAGCATGTTATACGAAATTCGGTAAAAAACCCAAAATTGCCATATTCAGGTGCCTTAAAAACCATGTTAAAATTGAGTTAGAGATCTGAAACTTTGCAGGGCGTCTAGACGTTGACCAAATCGACTGTAAAAAAAATTTCGTGTTTCAGGAGTATCGGGAAATGGGTTTTCTGGAACCCCTGTTTTACGATAGATTGTCGTGATACATATATTCAGGGATAGACGCTTTGCCAGTCAAATGTAGTCAATTGTAGCCTGAATTTAAGTGTCCGGAGATTCAAAAGTATAAAAGATACAGCAATTTCCGACCACAGGTCTTAAAGATAATTGTTTACACTTCAGTTTCAATTATATCAAAAAATAATTTAACGTCATCATCACCACTTGATGACGTCATCAAATTAAGTGTTTTTAAAACTTGATTTTTGACAAAATAACAACTTTTCAAACTGATTTTACACCATTAAGGAGTAATTTTATTCAAAATCTGAGGACATTTTCATATTAGATAATTGTTCAAGCATTCTGAAAATCTACCGGAAAGTTTCCCTACTTTGCTCCTTCATAAAGATATTTGCCATTGAAGTTAGTGCTTTTTTGAAGAATTATTTTATAAAAACGTCAATTTTGCGATTTAGTATTCTCTGGTGTTGGGCTATCCCTTGGGTTGTGGAGCTCAGTTCTGCTTCCTATAGGTATAAATTGTGTATTAGGATAGTTTTAAAGTTAAAAATCTAAAAGTTGCACACGTGGGGACACGCCCAAATTGATTAAAAATTGCTAAAATCACTGAAAATTGCTGTTTTTACCATTTTCTTTAAACGTTGGTGTGCCGTTGTGATTACAGTTCTTCTTGAAATACTTTGAAACTTTGCATGCTTATCAAACTATATATAAAACACCAACACGCAAAAATTTACGGCGATTCAATATTGGATGCGCACGCAACGTCCGCTCATAGTTTGCACGTGCGAAAGGTGATAATTTTGCTCATTCGTGATTTCGATTAAATTCTGCTTTACCACGATCACAGTTCAATGTCATTATATATAAATTTAATGCCAACTTGAATGAGTATAAAGTGGCAAATTCAGTCAGTGATCGACCGATATGCTTACCCAAACACAAGGAAATGTTTTCAAAGGAAAAATTTCGAAATCGTTGAAACTTCCTCCTTATTAATGAAGATATCAGTTTATATTTCGACTTTATAAAGTACCCTGACATTAATCAAAAAGCGATGATATTTGACCAAAACCCATAATCATGGGTAGAGTGGACCGCTGCCAGTGTCTCTCTTTCCCAAACAAAAGGAAATGATATTAATTTGATTGACCGTTCTCAAATGCAAAATGATACCGAGAATGAAATCGGTCGCTCGCTTTTCCCATTCATTCACGGCTTACGAATTGTAATAAGTTTCGATTGATTACATCAATCAGATGCTGTAAAAATCTCTTTGGGTTGCGTTCGGGTCGATACCTAGTATTTCGGGGTAAGGGTGGTAGTTATTACTTATTGAATTAGCTGAAGTTTATTGAATCTTTTTTGCCGAGTACAGCTGCCTTTGGGTAGTTCTTCTTAATCTATTACAATTGTAAATGAATGGGAAAAGCGAGCGACCGATTTCATTCTCGGTATCATTTTGCATTTGAGAACGGTCAATCAAATTAATATCATTTCCTTTTGTTTGGGAAAGAGAGACACTGGCAGCGGTCCACTCTACCCATGATTATGGGTTTTGGTCAAATCAACACTTCATAACTGGAGAAAGGAGCTGAAAAGGGATCCTGGACACAAAACCCGTATGTCGGTTGAGCACTAGGTCATTGTGAGAGCTCAGAGCCACAGCTAACAAAAACTCTAAGTTACTAAAAGCAGCACGCATATTTATATTTATAGGAACATTAATTCTAACAAACAACAAAGCTTGCGGCCCTGACGGTATCCATGGTAAGATACTGAAGAACTGTGCTGGTAGTCTCGCTTGCCCACTTTCAATTTTATTTGAGATATCATATAACTCCGGTATTATTCCAACTGAATGGAAGCTGGCTCACGTAGTTCCGGTTCACAAGAAGGGTAGTAAGGAGGACATTGAGAATTATCAGCCGATTTCCCTAACTAGTCTTATAATGAAAACATTTGAACGCCTTATTAAACAGGAACTCTTGAATAAAACAATGCATCTTCTTGATGATAGACAGCATGGATTTCTTGGAGACAGATCTTGTACCACAAATATGATTAACTTTATTGACAGTGTCACGCTATCCCTCAATGACTGTTCGACTATAAGTGTAGACATCATTTACTTTGATTTTGCTAAAGCCTTTGATTCTGTAAATCATGATCTTATTCTTAAGAAACTTAAACTCGTCTTTAATATTGAAGGAAGGCTACTCAAATTCCTAACCAACTATCTTAGTGAACGGGAACAATGTGTTTTAGTTGATGGTAGACATTCAGAGATCAAACCTGTTTTGTCTGGAGTTCCTCAAGGCTCCGTCCTAGGTCCCATTCTATTTGTCTTATTCATAAACGATCTTCCCATGAGATTAAGTTCAGGCACAAATTTGGTACTTTATGCTGATGACACGAAAATATGGAGTCCTATTAAATCATACAACGATTATTGCACACTTCAGAATAACATAAATGAACTTAATTCTTGGAGCATAGAAAATAAGATGCGATTCCATCCATCAAAGTGTAAAGTCCTCTCTATTCCTGGAAAGAAATTCAGCAGTAGGATATTACCTATTCCATTTATCAGATTTCAATATTTGCTCGGTAATACTCCCTTAGATTACACCAGTACGGAAACAGATCTTGGAGTCGTTATAAATCAGGGCTTTCGTTTTGAAGAACACATAACTAAAATATTGTCCAAAGCTAACCAAAAATTTGGGCTGCTGAAACGCACTTGCTCATTTGTCCAAGATGAGAGACGAAGAAGAAATTTATACCTTGCACTTGTTAGAAGTCAATTTGAACACTGTTCCCAAATCTGGCGTCCATTTAATAAAACACAACTAGATAAGATGGATGCTTTTCAAAAAAGGTGTATTAAGTGGATTTTTGATGAGGAATTCACAAGCTATCAGTCCTTTGAAAACTATACTTACAAGTGTCATCAATTGAAAATCCTTCCTCTCAGCAAGAGGTTTGAATTGAATGACCTGACCTTGTTTCACAAAATAGTCAATGGTGTATGCACACAAGAGCTTCCTAATTACTTACAACTATACAAAGGAAGCACACGCTTAAGATCATGTCACCATGACAGCCTAAGTTATGTAACGACTCTTGTTCAAACACAGTGTTATAGCAGTCTCCTTAAGAAATCATTCTTTTATCGGACACATCTGCTCTGGAATAAACTTCCTCTCGAAATAAGAGACCATAGCTGTCCTGATATCTTCAAGGCCAAACTTAAGGATCACCTATGGTCGGAAATGCTACCCACAGATCCAAACGATAGTCACGCTGAATTCTACCTGTCTGATAATGATTAGATGCATCTCATTTCTCCCAATGCCAATTCTCTAATCTAAAATAACCGATCCAAACTATTTAAGGGGTTAGGGGTGGGTTGGGTTGTGGGTTGGGTTTTTAAAAGTATTGTATGATATAATCTATTTCATTAAAAAGTTAACAAATTATTAACATTATGATATTTTATGCACGCTGTATTTTATTATTGCACAATCATCTCTATTACTATATATCTTACATTTATATGTGTTGATTGTATGAAATGTTTTGTCAGGGACCATATTTTGTAGGTGTAATTTTTGCACGAACTACGTTCTGGTTTCCCGTCATTATAGTACATAGAAATCACTTTTTGACCGTGTTATTTTCATGCAATTACATTGATGTATGTACTATTTTGAAAAGATTTTCAATAAAAAAAAATGGCGTTGTGCCTTTGTTACAGGGGGCGTTTTCGTGGTTATTTTAGGTATCTGAACAAAGTTTCATGACAACTTAGTTGGAGAAAATTATAAGTCAAACGGGTTGATGTTATAACGTACAACAATGATGAAATCGATTTGCAGCGTAAATTGCACCTAAATGAGTAACTGATAATAAATAATTTCAAATTACAATAATAAAAAGATAGTAAAAATTCGGCAACCGATTATTTACCGTTGAATTAACATTCAGCAAACCCAAGTTTAAAATATCCAGTGGTTATGTCATATCTAGCAATATCTAGCAATATCTTGTGCTAAACCGGTCATATTATTATTACTAACATATTCTTTTTTACCACAAGTGGAACCATTCATTATATCAGGCTCGGTTCAGAATATGATAATATATCGAACCATAGACACCAAAAACCCACTCTCATCTCACTCTCATCTGAATATTAAATGTTGCTAGATTATATCTGCTAAAGTTCGTCCCTACGGTGAGGTGTATTAAGGAAGGGGTAGTGTCTGACCAGGTGGTTGTGGATCTGATCTGCTGTGCTAGTCTCAATATCAACTCCTTTTATATCCTGAGAAAACATCAGCCGTTACTTATAGTCAGAGAGCATGAGGAATGACTGATAACTGATTACTAATATCATAATGAATCCATCATGTATAAAAATAGCTGTCTTGCTTGCCAGCGCTGTGAAATGGTGCACAGGATTAAACCTCCACGAAGGCTGGTACATGATATTTGAGATAAACGATTCAAAAGTTCGGAAATTTAATCGTACAGGGTGGGCCAAAAGTCAGTACCCATACGTTGGCCTTAATAGCTCCGCCGTGTTTTATATTTGAGAGCTGTTGCTTTGCAGATGGCATACTGTACTTACTGGTTCGAGGATTCCGTCGTCAAAATTTGAAAATTCGAATATTTTAGACCACGCCCATTCAATATTAAAACACCTATATTGTTTTCTCTGAACATGCTGAACGCCTAATTTTTTCAGAGACGGTAGACTATTCAATGTTATGTTGCATATGATCTGAAAACATGAGGCAAAACGGATTAGAAATGACGAAGTTATCAAGCATTTTCTGTATCTCGTTAACAATATTGACTGGGTGATTATGTGACACCGTGACACGACACCTTAATTGGGCACCCTTAACAATTCCCATAATGTTTAACGGGGTAGTTAACGGGGGCACCTTATCATGTGATTAGGTAAACCAATCACCTGATCACACGTAATGAATAAACTCGTTATGCTTCATATCTCGGTCATCTGAGAAGCTACAGTTCTAATTCTTTCAGGACAAACGTAATTCGAATGGCCAAACACAATTCAATAACATTTAGCTTGATCCGACCATCCAAACTATCAAATGAATGTGAAAATGAACCTCCATTTGAAAAAAATGAACGCGAATATTTTTCGAGTTGACAAATTCCTCGAACCAGTGGTGGTACTAAGTCATACCAGAAAGAAGTATTTAAATTGGGCACTCAGTGACTGAGCTATAAAGGCCAACGTATGGGTACTGACTTTTGGCCCACCCTGTATATTACCTGAGGTTGTCCAGTGCCTCCGGGGTAAAAGTAGAGTGTAGGGAAGCCGTTAAGTTTAGCTTGATAGCACAGGTTATAGTGCTGGTTACAGTCTACTTTACCAATACCTAGCCTCTCTTTTAGTTTACCAGCTAACTTCTCCATCTCACCAGCAAATCTGTGCCAGGTTAGCTTTTAGGTTCTCAAAGGATATTTTAAAAACCTAATCTAACAGCTTAATTTTAGAGACATTTTTATTTATCTATTTATTCGAATTTCAAGTGAGATGTTAAATATCAAAGAAATTATCGTCAAAGAATTTTCTAAATCTCGAGTTTTTCAGCTCCGTTATAAACCAGATTTTATTAATTTATTAAAATTTCAAGTGAGATTTACTACATCAAAGAACTTATTGATAACTAAGGTTTTCTACCTTTGGCACGGTCCGCATTTAGGCGTATAGAACTCCACTAGCCAAGGACTTTTGGACTTGAGTACTTTATCTACAAAGTTCTTTGGAACCAACGTTTCCTGGGAACGGATTTGTATAAATAAATAATAATAAATAATAGTAATAGAACTATGTTTACAGTGCACTACAATGTAGAATGTAAAAGTACTAAAGGGGTATCCTAAGAAGATTCTTGACCTTTTGGTAGGAACGGATTTGTAATATGTTATCCGGAATATGATTTATTTGCCGCTATGATAATATGATGATAAGACTATGATAATGTGACGCGAGAAGTAAGTTCAAGCTCTGGTATCATGTTAAATCGTGTTCTAAATTAATAACACTCGGGCTCGCCTCATTTTCTGTAGACAAGTATTTAATCAACTCCATAAGCTTATCGTGGGGAACTTCCTTATTTCCGCATTTTTAATTTAATAGTTAAAGTAAGCAACATGCATGAGAACCTTATATTTAAAGGACGCAGTTCCCAGTTTTCTGTGATAGTTGATAAAACGATAAATAACTGAGTTATATACAAACGGTTCGGCTTTTCAATTCGAAAGTTTCGAACCAGTAAAAAGACAATGTCATAACATTTAATTATCACAAACATAGTTACATCATGTGTCATGAATAACTGACCGATTTTAAAAGATTATACCACAACAACTTACCACATCAGAAGGTAGATGAGGCATGGCCCAGCCCTGCAAGTCGTTTAGTTGACCCCATCCCTTGTACTGAGTGAACTTTCCCCGACCCTTACTCCCAGCTCCATATACTTTAACTGCTGGATATCCTCTTATACCTTCTAGTTTACACACCTGAACTACCAGTGTGTTAGGGCATGTTCTTTATTTTAAAGATAGATAAGGAAACACATTTCAAACTTGAATTCTATTTCTATTAGTTTTGTGTTATACACTTGTCGATACAGGTTTATATTGCGTAATAGGTCATGAATTACAAGAGACATAAGTTTGAGAATATTGTTAACCTGAGTTTCAACAGTGCAGTCAACTTTAGCAACAAACACATTCTCGAAGTGGTCTAGAGATTTAGAGAACTTGTTCCAGGTAGGTGCTAGTTGTTTACAGGGTCCACACCACGGTGCGTAGTAGTCCACAAACCAAACCTGAAGGAGACAGGTTATAAATATTGACATCGCTGTGCTAGAGCTAAAGTTCATCTACATTTATGAATTTGTTCTACACCTGATAAGGATGGGTCAAAATGATTTCAGTGACAGCCGGACCAGCTTCAATTCTTCGAAATTTTGACTTATTCAAAGGAGAAAGTAAACGAAATGAACCTCATCAGCTTTCTTGTTGTTTATTTTGATAATCCATTGTTCGTAGTCCAGCTGTATGACCGGAGGATTGAGCACATCTTCTATAAATTGTAATATTTCCTCCTTGTTCTTGTATCCGGAGGTGGTGTGTGGTTTACTGGAGTTGTACATTACTGTTGTGGGGTAACTGCTTACAGACATCTGAGGAGGAGGGGGGGTTAGACAAGTTAGATTTCACAACCAATGCTGTACCTTTAAACTAAATAACTGAATACCCGTATCTTGTGGCTAACTAAATAACTAAATAACTGAATACCCGTATCTTGTGGCAGAAGAACTGTACACTTCTAAATTAACTACTATGACTATTATACTATACGTGATAAATCTAGACAGTTTAACTACTAAATGAAACGTCTGTACCGTACCCTTTGACAAAGTTGAGAATGTGCAGCACAATCCACACTGCCAAACACCACTTTAGGCATATCTCGTGCAGCTTTGCGGACTTCAGGTAACAACCGCATACATGGTGGGCACCAGGGCGCGAAGAAGTCAACCAGCGAAGTAGTTTCTGTAATGTGAGGGAAGTGAGCAGGAGTTAGCTCGATTAGAGGGGATAACATTGCTTCTCTGATGAAGATGGCCATGTCTGCTGCGTCTTGTCTTCCTGAGGATGGGTGAGCGTATAACGTAGGAATATCTAGCGTTATTCTCGTTTATTACAGCGATTAGGGATATCAATACATTGATCAAACTGAAATAATCTAAGAGAGAAGAAATCACATATTCTAATCTACAGTACAGCTAGCAGCTGTATAGCTAGCTACACAACAGCTGCCCCCCCCCCCCCCCCCCCTACAGTACAGCTACGCAACAGGTTATTAGTAAGATCAATGATCACAAAAACTGACAGCACATTTAGCTACACAGAGGTTTAATGAGAAGGATTGTGGTTCAGATCGCCATGCACACTTTACATTGATTAAAACCTGTACTAGCAAATTACGATTGACACCCCAAAATGTATCTTTGTCGCTGAATTTTAATAAAAATATGTCAACCTGTGTTTAAATTTGGCAATTCAAGCTTTTAAGTAATGAATATAAAATACAGATTTGTGTTATGGAATATTGCTCACCATGGTATCGTTCGTATCCTCCGTCTTTCAGTACAAAGAGAGTAGGATATCTAGTGACAAACATGTCACCACATAGTTTGGAGTATGTATTACAGTCTACTTGATATGGCTGAAAAATATTTGAATTTATGGATTAGATTTTGAATTTGCTCATCTTTTTAATTAGACGACGAAATTATACGAGCAAATGACGGAATAACAGCCACAAAAAACTGCGAAAATCGGAGCGAAACTGTCAAAGTTACGTCAGTAGCGGCTCATCCCCGGAAACGTTAAAGGTGATAAATTTGACGACGTGTCCAGAATCGGTGCATAAAACGCGCGCGCGCAAAATCGTATTGACTGGCGGTTTGCGCCGAAGGGTCAATGCAAATGTCATCGCGTGGTCCAGTTAACGTATTTTGAAAGTGTGTCAGCATAATTAGGCCCACTGAGCTATTTTAGGCAAGAATACATTTTATAAAAGCTTACTGTGATTTTGGTGAAATAAAGCTTTATATCTGAAACATTGTGTATTACCCACGTACCTTTTGGTCCTTGAGTTGACCTCCCAGTTTGATGAACTCCAGAGGGACACCACTTTTACTAAATATAACTATCTGTGGATCTATGTCAGCTGCCATAGCTTTATCGTGCAACGTCTGAAACAATGGACATAACATTGAAACCATCATCGAAAAAAATTATATATTCTACGTATGATAACTCTTTATTGTTGATATGTAAAACTCGAGCCACGTATTCAAAAGTAAAAAGTCCATTTTAACTGAAAATATTTCTCACATCAAAATCATCTTCAGTGATAAGGTCAGGCTCCGGCAGATTTTTGAGCACAGTGAAAACAATCTCTTGCGTAACCAACGTGTCGATTTTCTGAAAAAGAGATATTGTGATTCTCGAGATGTTCAATGTTACAATATAACATTACTAGGTACCCGCTAGTTGAAAGCTTTGTTCTTGCGATATAATATTATGTGTATTTCTCTCGTATTATTAGCAAAATGTGTTCTCAGTAAACGGTTCAACTCTATGAAACTAATAACCTCCTTGAATATCCGGAAGATAATTACATATTCCCTAACTAATTCCAATATAACGAATTATACACCACACCACCCACTAGTATCTCATAGTTCCGTCTTCCTAATTAATATAGGTGTGTTGAGTAGAAAACACATCATATTTAACTTACCACAGCATCTTTAAGAATAGTAGCAAGGCTCATGGTAGGTTTAGCTCCCTGAATGAAGAGTAATCCAGAAGATTCTATGGGAAGTAAGTCACATATCTTAAGATTCTCGTCACATGACACGTACCCAACATAGACCATGTTTTTAAGGGAGATGGATACTCTGTCTAGAGATGAGCGGGACGGACAATCTGGTGGGATACAACAGTTAGTGTTAAATAACCCCATGTCTACTAAACAGTAAACACTACTAAACTGAACTATGTTAAATAACATGGCAGCTGGTACTTTGTAAGAACTGACTGCTATCCTGAAACTTGATTCTTCGAAAACCGTTAGTAAATTTGTTGCTTTGGTAAATTTAATGCTATGGTAGTACGATATATTAATATAGCAAACTGACCGTCGTTCTTGTAGCAGAAACTAACAACCCAGGGACGCTCAATCTCTGATACAGCCTTCTTGAAGGAAGGTTCAAACAGTGCTATAACAGGAGAAGGAGGCAGACTGTCCATCACGTAGCTCATCATGGACTCCATGTCTCGCTCACCGTTGTATTGTTCTCTTCCTGTGTAACGGTTTTGTTTTTAAATATGGCAGTCTCAATATTGGGCATTCATATTTACCGCATAATAGGCATTGGAGAAATGTTATTATATGTCAATAAAAACTATAAACATTCTGAAGTACTCCAAGATCAGCTTAACAAAATGGCTCCTTTTTCACATTATAATTGACAAATTTTTTGGCTTTCATGATCAGTCTAAATCACTTTATTCCAATCCTCATATTCATAAAACCACAAGGTATTATCTCAGACTTGTAATTATACATAATTAGAAGATCTAATTATACATACCACTAGGCCGGTAGAGATAAAGAGATGGGTAACCCCTCAGATGGTGACACAGATCTCTGGCATCCGCACAGTTCACAGCCCCTATACGTACCACTCCTTCCAGCTCCTTAGCCAGTGCTCGCCACTGAGGAGGTCATTGTTAGTCAGGTAAAAATATTCAATCGTTATGGTTAAATAGCCATGTAGGTAAAAGATTCGGTAGTTTTTAGATGAGCCGCGCTGTGACGTCATTTATCTTGAAATTATTACCGTCAAATGTCAATATCATATTTTGTTTTATTGGGGTTGTAAAAATATTTGACAAAGAAAATATATAAATTCTATGTTTAAAGTACGTAGCATCTTAATTAATATTCAAATATATACACAGTAAAGATAAAATTTAGTTTCTTTAAAATGATCACATAATTACTGTTCTAGCGTTTAACCAGCTTTCCTTAAACACAATATAAGATAAATAGGAAAAGTTCTGACTTCTGTGCGAAGCAGCAAACACAAATTTTGTAAGCGGCTAATGATTTCTCTTTCAAACAACAAAGAAATTCACATTTTGTGCATAACTTTAACGAATTTCTCAATAGTCTCACAGTACCACCTCTCACATCTCAATAGTCTCACAGAACCACCTCTCACATCTCAATAGTCTCAGCAGTACCACCTCTCACATCTCAGCAGTCTCAGCAGTATCACCTCTCACATCTCAGCAGTCTCAGCAATACCACCTCTCACATATCAGCAGTCTCAGCAGTACCACCTCTCACATCTCAGCAGTCTCAGCAGTCTCAGCAGTCTCAGCAGTACCACCTCTCACATCTCAGCAGTCTCAGCAGTACCACCTCTCACATCTCAGCAGTCTCACAGTACCACCTCTCACATCTCAGCAGTCTCAGCAGTACCACCTCTCACATCTCAGCAGTCTCAGCAGTACCACCTCTCACATCTCAGCAGTCTCAGCAGTACCACCTCTCACATCTCAGCAGTCTCAGCAGTACCACCTCTCACATCTCAGCAGTCTCAGCAGTACCACCTCTCACATCTCAGCAGTCTCACAGTACCACCTCTCACATCTCAGCAGTCTCAGCAGTACCACCTCTCACATCTCAGCAGTCTCACAGTACCACCTCTCACATCTCAGCAGTCTCAGCAGTACCACCTCTCACATCTCAGCAGTCTCAGCAGTACCACCTCTCACATCTCAGCAGTCTCAGCAGTACCACCTCTCACATCTCAGCAGTCTCAGCAGTACCACCTCTCACATCTCAGCAGTCTCAGCAGTACCACCTCTCACATCTCAGTAGTCTCAGCAGTACCACCTCTCACATCTCAGCAGTCTCAGCAGTACCACCTCTCACATCTCAGTAGTCTCAGCAGTACCACCTCTCACATCTCAGCAGTCTCAGCACTATCACCTCTCACATCTCAGCAGTCTCAGCAGTACCACCTCTCACATCTCAGTAGTCTCAGCAGTACCACCTCTCACATCTCAGCAGTCTCAGCAGTACCACCTCTCACATCTCAGTAGTCTCAGCAGTACCACCTCTCACATCTCAGCAGTCTCACAGTACCACCTCTCACATCTCAGCAGTCTCAGCAGTACCACCTCTCACATCTCAGCAGTCTCAGCAGTACCACCTCTCACATCTCAGTAGTCTCAGCAGTACCACCTCTCACATCTCAGCAGTCTCAGCAGTACCACCTCTCACATCTCAGTAGTCTCAGCAGTACCACCTCTCACATCTCAGCAGTCTCAGCACTATCACCTCTCACATCTCAGCAGTCTCAGCAGTACCACCTCTCACATCTCAGCAGTCTCAGCAGTACCACCTCTCACATCTCAGCAGTCTCAGTAGTACCACCTCTCACATCTCAGCAGTCTCAGCAGTACCACCTCTCACATCTCAGCAGTCTCAGCAGTACCACCTCTCACATCTCAGCAGTCTCAGCAGTACCACCTCTCACATCTCAGCAGTCTCAGCAGTACCACCTCTCACATCTCAGCAGTCTCAGCAGTACCACCTCTCACATCTTAGCAGTCTCACAGTACCACCTCTCACATCTCAGCAGTCTCACAGTACCACCTCTCACATCTCAGCAGTCTCAGCAGTACCACCTCTCACATCTTAGCAGTCTCAGCAGTACCACCTCTCACATCTCAGCAGTCTCACAGTACCACCTCTCACATCTCAGCAGTCTCACAGTACCACCTCTCACATCTCAGCAGTCTCAGCAGTACCACCTCTCACATCTCAGCAGTCTCAGCAGTACCACCTCTCACATCTCAGCAGTCTCAGCAGTACCACCTCTCACATCTCAGCAGTCTCAGCAGTACCACCTCTCACATCTCAGCAGTCTCAGCACTATCACCTCTCACATCTCAGCAGTCTCAGCAGTACCACCTCTCACATCTCAGCAGTCTCAGCAGTACCACCTCTCACATCTCAGCAGTCTCAGCAGTACCACCTCTCACATCTCAGCAGTCTCACAGTACCACCTCTCACATCTCAGCAGTCTCAGCAGTACCACCTCTCACATCTCAGCAGTCTCAGCAGTACCACCTCTCACATCTCAGCAGTACCACCTCTCACATCTCACATCTCAGCAGTACCACCTCTCACATCTCAGCAGTCTCAGCAGTACCACCTCTCACATCTCAGCAGTCTCAGCAGTACCACCTCTCACATCTCAGCAGTCTCAGCAGTACCACCTCTCACATCTCAGCAGTCTCAGCAGTACCACCTCTCACATCTCAGCAGTCTCAGCAGTACCACCTCTCACATCTCAGCAGTCTCAGCACTATCACCTCTCACATCTCAGCAGTCTCAGCAGTACCACCTCTCACATCTCAGCAGTCTCAGCACTATCACCTCTCACATCTCAGCAGTCTCAGCAGTACCACCTCTCACATCTCAGCAGTCTCAGCAGTACCACCTCTCACATCTCAGCAGTCTCAGCACTATCACCTCTCACATCTCAGCAGTCTCACAGTACCACCTCTCACATCTCAGCAGTCTCAGCAGTACCACCTCTCACATCTCAGCAGTCTCAGCAGTACCACCTCTCACATCTCAGCAGTCTCAGCAGTACCACCTCTCACATCTCAGCAGTCTCAGCAGTACCACCTCTCACATCTCAGCAGTCTCAGCACTATCACCTCTCACATCTCAGCAGTCTCAGCAGTACCACCTCTCACATCTCAGCAGTCTCAGCAGTACCACCTCTCACATCTCAGCAGTCTCAGCAGTACCACCTCTCACATCTCAGCAGTCTCAGCAGTACCACCTCTCACATCTCAGCAGTCTCAGCAGTACCACCTCTCACATCTCAGCAGTACCACCTCTCACATCTCACATCTCAGCAGTACCACCTCTCACATCTCAGCAGTCTCAGCAGTACCACCTCTCACATCTCAGCAGTCTCAGCAGTACCACCTCTCACATCTCAGCAGTCTCAGCAGTACCACCTCTCACATCTCAGCAGTCTCAGCAGTACCACCTCTCACATCTCAGCAGTCTCAGCACTATCACCTCTCACATCTCAGCAGTCTCACAGTACCACCTCTCACATCTCAGCAGTCTCAGCAGTACCACCTCTCACATCTCAGCAGTCTCAGCAGTACCACCTCTCACATCTCAGCAGTCTCAGCAGTACCACCTCTCACATCTCAGCAGTCTCAGCAGTACCACCTCTCACATCTCAGCAGTCTCAGCACTATCACCTCTCACATCTCAGCAGTCTCAGCAGTACCACCTCTCACATCTCAGCAGTCTCAGCAGTACCACCTCTCACATCTCAGCAGTCTCAGCAGTACCACCTCTCACATCTCAGCAGTCTCAGCAGTACCACCTCTCACATCTCAGCAGTACCACCTCTCACATCTCACATCTCAGCAGTACCACCTCTCACATCTCACATCTCAGCAGTCTCAGCAGTACCACCTCTCACATCTCAGCAGTCTCAGCAGTACCACCTCTCACATCTCAGCAGTCTCAGCAGTACCACCTCTCACATCTCAGCAGTCTCAGCAGTACCACCTCTCACATCTCAGCAGTCTCAGCAGTACCACCTCTCACATCTCAGCAGTCTCAGCAGTACCACCTCTCACATCTCAGCAGTCTCAGCACTACCACCTCTCACATCTCAGCAGTCTCAGCAGTACCACCTCTCACATCTCAGCAGTCTCACAGTACCACCTCTCACATCTCAGCAGTCTCAGCAGTACCACCTCTCACATCTCAGCAGTCTCAGCAGTACCACCTCTCACATCTCAGTAGTCTCAGCAGTACCACCTCTCACATCTCAGCAGTCTCAGCAGTACCACCTCTCACATCTCAGCAGTACCACCTCTCACATCTCACATCTCAGCAGTACCACCTCTCACATCTCAGCAGTCTCAGCAGTACCACCTCTCACATCTCAGCAGTCTCAGCAGTACCACCTCTCACATCTCAGCAGTCTCAGCAGTACCACCTCTCACATCTCAGCAGTCTCAGCACTATCACCTCTCACATCTCAGCAGTCTCACAGTACCACCTCTCACATCTCAGCAGTCTCAGCAGTACCACCTCTCACATCTCAGCAGTCTCAGCAGTACCACCTCTCACATCTCAGCAGTCTCAGCAGTACCACCTCTCACATCTCAGCAGTCTCAGCAGTACCACCTCTCACATCTCAGCAGTCTCAGCACTATCACCTCTCACATCTCAGCAGTCTCAGCAGTACCACCTCTCACATCTCAGCAGTCTCAGCAGTACCACCTCTCACATCTCAGCAGTCTCAGCAGTACCACCTCTCACATCTCAGCAGTACCACCTCTCACATCTCACATCTCAGCAGTACCACCTCTCACATCTCAGCAGTCTCAGCAGTACCACCTCTCACATCTCAGCAGTCTCAGCAGTACCACCTCTCACATCTCAGCAGTCTCAGCAGTACCACCTCTCACATCTCAGCAGTCTCAGCAGTACCACCTCTCACATCTCAGCAGTCTCACAGTACCACCTCTCACATCTCAGCAGTCTCAGCAGTACCACCTCTCACATCTCAGCAGTCTCAGCAGTACCACCTCTCACATCTCAGCAGTCTCAGCAGTACCACCTCTCACATCTCAGCAGTCTCAGCAGTACC